TTACTGAGTGAATATCAAGACAAGTATGTTTACAAGATAAGGGTTTTAAAACACGTTGATTGCCTCATTCGCCGAGTGGTCGGAAGTGTGACTGCTAGACAAGGGGTCTCGGATCCGATTCCCGGGTCGAGCAAAGAATTACTGGGTCTTTTTTTAATTTCTTAGTAGTAGCACGGATTCTGGAAATGTACCCGGTATGTGGCCATAGGCTCACCCCCTATTACATGGGACTGATAACATAAATAGTGAAAAGTTGATTCTATCACATGGAGCTCATTATATAGTTTTTTAGTGAAAGTGGGTATTACATTATATAGTGGCATTAAGTGCCGTAATGTGCACCTTTGCCTTTCCCTATGGAGATAAAAGGCGTGATGTTATGTGTATTTCAAAACAGTAGATATAAGAAACTGCAAAATATGATCCACGCCTATTAACCGTTTGGGAACGGCAGACTGGAACACAGTCGCCGATAATAGTGAAAATAAATACAAATATATCCTCTCCATAAACGTCATTATTGGCGGTTTTTTTTTTAAGGGGGAAAATCATCGAATGACTGCTCCCGCCTGGGTGAGGCGGAAGGGAGTGTCAGACTCTTACTGACTAAAAACCACTCCGTTCCTTCTCCTGCACGTCGAGCCGGAGCCCCGGTTACCCGTTAGGTTCTCCGCGACTCCGAATCGGCATCGGCCCTATTGGGCCCCATCTGTGGTGGTCTGATGGCTCTTTGAGGCGCGCGCGGAACGCGACGCGCCGTACGCTCGGGTCTGTTTCTGGTCGGACGGGGAGCCACCCATGCTCGCCGTCCGCAGGCCCGCGCTTACGGTGGCCGGAGATCGTCCCGCGATCCCCGACGCCCGGTGTGTCCTTCGCGATGGCTGGGTTGCTAGGAGGCAGCGCTTTGCTGCCTCACGCGTCCCGCCTCCTCCTTAGCTAGCATGACTGCTTCGCAAAAGGAGGAGACGGCATCCCAGTCCCCCTCGCTCCGCATCATGGCCTGCACTAGGCCCGGACGCGAGAGGTCGCCATCGCCGATCACTTCCCTGAGGGCACGGCGGTGCTCAGCCCACGCAGGGCATTCCGCAACGGTCTGTTCCACCGTGTCCTCAGGGCGGTCCTCGCAGTGATGACACCCGGGCGTTTCCTCCCGCCCCATCAGACACAGGTACCTCCCGAAACTTCCATGTCCGGTGAGGACCTGCGCCAGGCGGTAGGTGAGGACGCCGTAGCGTCTCTCAAGCCACTCCTCAAAGAGGGGTCTTACCGCTGCAATGGCAGCGAGCCCAATTATTGGCGGTTACGGTGTACTTTATTATTTATGTATAACACCACCCCTACTCTACCCGCGGGTATGGTAAGTCTACTAAGGGATTAAGTTTTTTTTATTGTTAATAAGTAAATGCTTAGCCGCTATCTCACTTCGTCTATACATGTTTAACACGACTGGGCAGCAGCGTCCTCTGATAAATTTGATCCTTTCATCTGCTATCTCCAACCCGTCTGCCAAGCGTAGAAAAATATCTCTTTTGAAGAAGAGGTCTATAGGTAGTGTATTCTCATGTGATAATAACTATGGGAGGGCCATGCTTTGGTACGAATAGGCCGGCTCAACCGGAGTGATACCGCGGCCTCACAGAAAACCGACGTGAAACAACGCTTGCGTTGTATTTCGTCTTGTTACCTATTACCGAAAGCCCAATTACCCCCCTCCCCAATATGGGTATATTAAGATATATAATCCCCGAAACCCCAACAATCCTCAAATTCCTAATCTAGGGACTGGGTTAAGTAGCCATTAAATGACACTGAGTACGGCGGTTAGTATTTCCGAGGAATTAGGAGTTTGTTCACTGACAGTAGCGCCATCTAGTATCGTAAGGTAGAACTTTACATCATAGGTTGTTTGTTTTATTTTTTGTAAAATATTAACTTTTTTAGTTGTCATGTATGTATGTACAAATGATAATAAAGGTATCTAAGATAGAATTTATGTGTTATCGCGTTATCTCCCAGCCAACAACTAAGTATAAGTGGAAATCAACAAAACACCCGCTCGGTTTGTGCCACCGTAGCTTCTAAAGATTGATTTAGTTGCCATTATTATGCGAAAGCGTTGTTGATTACGAAAAGCGGTGGTTTTCTGAAAAACCAGATCAAAACATTACATTAAGAGAGTGAGATGGCTATTTCTCTAAGTAATTTACAAGTATTACAAATTGTAACAGAAAGGACTAATTCGATGTTCTTAAATCGATAGGCTCTCGAACATAATAAAAAATTATGAATAGTATTGAAATATGCGTAGTATTATGTATATGTGTGCTTAAGTTTCCAATTTGCTAAATACTCCATCTACCGAAGTTGGCTAAATACCTACACCTCTATGTACCTACCTACTCAGTAAGTACTAAAACAACCCGATAGATGTCACTGTGCCGTGACGTCATTTTCTGAATCGCGGTGTTAAGATTCTCCGCGAATGAATGACCCTCCCCGGTTGCGAGTGTTACGGTATCGCTTCTCGGCCTTTTGGCTAAGATCAAAGTGTAGTATCTGTTCTTTTCAGCTTAATATCTGAAAGTTCCCTCACTGAGGGACCAGTATATTAAACTGATTTTTGTAAACTGACGGGATGTTCGGGGCTCGCTCCACTCCCGTCACGGGTCGGCCCGGCATTGCAGTGCCGCCGGGATCGGCCCACAGAATACCATGAAAATACTTAAATAAGTTAACAATGTTCTTGTTATTATATCTACTACGAATTATGTGCATCGTATGACATCGTCGTCGGTGTATCATCAGTCAATCTGTCGATCAGCATACACTCTACAATAAAATGGCGTGATGTTATAAGAAAACCAGTGTTTAGTCAAATCAGTGTAAAAAAAAAGCAATAAAGCATAATATTGTAAGTTGTATAAAATAAAGCGGGCCCGTGGTTAGCGTTTTCTCGTTAACTCAAATTCTCTATTGCACTCATGTGTACATACTTAGGTGTTACATGATGATTAATGCTCTAACCTTCTCCGTGTGAGAAGAGGCTTTGCTCAGCAGTGGGCATTTATAGGCTGTTGATGATGATGATGATGAACATCAACATTATGAATTGACAAAATAAGCATTCAGTCAGTAGGTATTACAAACATACAAGCGGCCATTTTCAAACCTTTTCGTTTGGGGATGTATGTATGTTCGTCGAATTTTTAACGGTCACAATCACAAAATCATTTTCAATTTTTCTTTGTATATAGGGTTCGATGAAAATGTACATAGTGTTCCAATTATTTTATGAAGAAACTTGCGTGATTTACACATTTACACTGATCTATTTTGCAACCTAACCTAATTTCACTGACGGACTGACTGACAGACTATTATTTATTTTGTATTTGTTGACGTTTCAAAAGTACCAAACTATGGTTTAATTGAAATAAATGCTTTGACTTTGACTTTGCACGCCTAAAGGTCACCTAAGGAAACACGGCTCCAGCTTTGAAAATAAGACAAAAAGGTAGTGAGCGTACCCCCGGACGGCGCGCTTACAGTTTTATTACATTGACGATAGGAAATATGTTATAGGTACGATATACGATTTAAAGTCCATTCTTAAATGACATGACGTGCTTATTAATTGCCGATTTTTCAATCATCAGTTAATTCTTAAGTGTAGAATAAAATTGACAGTTGACAGTTATAATGTGGAAGAATTGTAAAATATTCAAAGTTATTCCTCAATATATCTGGCGTTGGAAAAATCGGCCCTAAGTGTGCGATGACCTTTAAACTGAACTGAACACACTCGATTTCCTTTTCCTTATAACATCACGCCATTTTTATTGGTATGCTGATCGACAGATCGACTGATGATACGACGATGTCATACGACGCACATCATACGTAATTATTACTAAGACAGTATACTGTATATTATCATGGTAATCTGTGGGCCGATCCCGGCGGCACTGCAATGCCGGGCCGACCCGTGACGGGAGTGGAGCGAGCCCCGAACATCCCGTCAGTTTACAAAAATCAGTTTAATATACTGGTCCCTCAGTGAGGGAACTTTCAGATATTAAGCTGAAAAGAACAGATACTACACTTTGATCTTAGCCAAAAGGCCGAGAAGCGATGCCGTAACACTCGCAACCGGGGAGGGTCATTCATTCGCGGAGAATCTTAACACCGCGATTCAGAAAATGACGTCACGGCACAGTGACATCTATCGGGTCGTTGTAGTACTTACTGAGTAGGTAGGTACATAAAGGTGTAGGTATTTAGCCAACTTCGGTAGATGGAGTATTTAGCAACTTTAGTACTCACATTTCAATATTTTTATTGGACCATAATCATTATTATGATAAGATACGATACGATAAAGTACCTACCACCTGCAGTGTTTATTAGATTAGGTAGTGTATTTTATCATGCTTGATAATTCTATAGTACCTTGATAAAACTACTATCAACCATTGACTGTATCACTTGACATTCAGTTTTTATTAAAATTATAATGTTTAGCTGCGTATATACAAACAATGGGCGATGCTCGAGGTAAATGACCGGGCATCGACCCTGTGACCTCATATCAAGCAATGCATCTATGATAACTATGATAAGTATACCTACCCCAAAAAATATGATTTGTAAACTTAATAAGATAGTAATAAAACAAATAGGTATAATAATGTATACAAATTATTATAAATCTTATTTTATTGCACATATAATAAAAAATAATAATAACATTTACTAAAAATATACATCGAACCAACTTACTACAAAAAGTACCATTACCTTAGTTTAGTATAAAATCATTAAAAATGCACTTTGTGCTATGTACTTATTAAGTTTAATTTACTACAACAGTTTGTGTATGTGCTGTAATACTTTTATAACATATACATACATATATTTTCCATTATAAAACCAGTTTTAGACTTATGAAGCCTTTACTGGAATATAAAACTCTCATAGATAAAAAAATACTCTCATAGATAATAATCTTCAATTAATTTCTTACATACATAATTGAGCTTTTTATTAAATCTTAGAGGCTACCTGAGTATTTTTCTTAATAATCTTATTGACTATGACATGTCCCTCGTCATAGTATGGGTTAAAATGTTCCCGTACTTTCTTCCACCATACCTGTATATTCTTAAAGTTCGCACTAGGATCATAGCCACTCATCCCTGAAAAAAAAATACACCAAAAAGTTTTATTAATCGCGTTAATTAAGTACTCATAGCTACTTATAAGAGGTTAAAGTCCTGTATCAAGGTACCATTGGGCTGTTCAATTAAATTAAAATAAACATCTGCATGCATGAGCAGATTTTCAAGATTGATGCCATCGTCTCTGCATAGTCTTATGATAGACAGCCATTATTACTATATACATACTAGCATCTGCTAACGGTTTCGCTCACATTCCCACGAGATAAAGTGGCCAAATGTCATTTCAGACCATTATATACTCCTGTTCCAAATTCCCTGTTTTTACACATTGCCCCACACTAGTATTTTCTCCTGTGTCGTGGGAGCGTTTACAAACATACAATTTCACATACACATGACACCCAGACTTGGAACAACAATCTGTGGATCACACAAACAGTTGTTCCGTGCGGGAATATAAAAAAAAAACATTCGCATTTATAATATACTAGCTCCTTCCGCGCGGTTTCACTCGCTTTGCTCGGCGCTTTTTAATCGTAGCGTGATATTTTATAGCCTATAGCCTTCCTCGATAAATGGAGATTAGCGCGTTCAAACAAACAAACAAAAAAATTAACTCTTCAGCTTTATAATATTAGTATAGATTAGTAGGATTGTTGTTATTCTTACTAGGCTGTTCCAGTTCACAAGCTGCTAACAAATCTGCCACGGTAGGAGTATTTCCATTAATAAAGTCTGTTCCTCTGCCCAGCCACTTGTCATTGAACTCCGTCAAAGCTGCTTCCATGCGGCTCTCATACCCAGCGAGCGATACAGGATCGGCGGGTTTGCCAAACATCACTGGATTTAAGTACTGTAATTGAGAAAGACAAAGTTTGTACACAAGTTATCTTATGATTATCAACATAACATACATAATATTTATCCCAGATGGGATAGGCAGAGGTGCACATTATGGCATGTAATGCCACTGTACAATTCAGCACCCATTTTTCACTATTTATGTTATGAGTCCCATGTGATAGGGGCTGAGCCTATTGCCTTATATTACAAGTTTCTTTTTATAAAAACGTTGCGCCACTAGGAATTTTCTCGTCTGTCATGGGTGTGTTTACAAACATACAAGTTCACATACACATGACACCTAGACCCAGAACAACAATTTGTGGATCACACAAAGAGTTGTTCTGTACGGGTAATGAACCTGCTACACATTACACGGCAGCCAGTTGCCCAGTTACATGTGGAATGCTGTAAAAGTATAGAATGGATATTGAGTAACTTACTTTAACCCTGAAGTACATAGCACAATGCAACCTAAGCCCCGCATGCTGCCACTCTAGGAACTCTTCAACCCTGGCCTGAGCTTTAGACTCTTTAGGGTACAGACTTTCTGGTATCACATTCTCTCTGGATAGATACTTGAGGATGGCAACACTGAAAACAAAAATGATGGTAACACTGAATGTTATACTGTATAATATACAACATAACATTACACCTCTTGTTCCCCAGCGAGTTATGCTGCAGTCAATAAAATTGAATAATTTTTCACCAGTTTAGTTTTGAGCTCTGAACAAACATACCTCTCTGTTAAAATAAATCCATTATGATCTATAACCGGCACCTTCTGGAACCTATTTATTGCAGAGTATTCTTCAGTATAATGTTCAGCTGGAAATAAATAAAACATTGATATACTTATTTAAAAGGTTCTTACTATTTTTTAAATTACTTACATATAGTAAGATAAGTCGCGCTTTCAAGGGTAAGCGAGTGTTTAACTAAATACAAGTCAATTTCATTTTATCATAACATTTGTTTCTATTTGATAACTCACCTTGTCGTAAATTGACGAACTTCGGCTCGAAATTACATTTGATAGACTTCAATAAAATATAAAGAGCCCTCGAGGGTTGGGACATAAGATCGCAGTATAATTTTAAAGACATTTTATATTTCTTTTAAGAAGTTAACTTTTTGTGAACTTTGTACTGAGTTAGGTACTGACTATTGTGCTCGGATGTTTTTCTAGCTGATTTTTTATTACAAAATTGTTTTGTTATTGATAAGTAAAAACTTAGTTCGTCATATCAATTATGAACTTTATGATCATTACTTTTACGTTTAAAATTGTTTAGTTGTTTACAATACAAGATTCAAGATAACAATATGTTCAATTTTTACTGTCAAATGTCAAATTTAATTATATCGTTTTCGATTCGATGTCAAAACGTTTCAAAAGTCGAGCTTTTACAAAATCGACTAAAAATGGTTCAAAATCGATCAAATCAAAAATGCAATTGATTATGTTTTCTTGTAATCATTCTTTTAAATTTTGGTAAATTTATGAATTTGCTTGACATGATTCTTATATGAATCGCGTTTACGTGCGATTCAGTGCGTGTGACATGTGATCGTGTCACTGATAAGAAAACACTGGAAAAAGGAAAACACTCTCTGAATCTCGTAGACATCTCGTAAAGTAGTATTGTCTAAAAAGGTGAAATAAATTATAGAACGAAATAGGTTCCATGATGATGAGATTATTTGATTATTGTTCCATGTGGGAATTGAACCCATGACCCAAGTGTGGAAGAGCCATGCTTCGGCACGAATGGGCCGGCTCGACCGGAGTGATACCACAGCCTCACAGAAAACCGACGTGAAACAAAGCTTGCGTTGTGTTTCGTCGTGTAATTCCCTAGTCTCCCGAACCCCCGAATCCTCAACAATCCCTAAATTCTCAATTCCCAAAAACCCGGTAACGCACTTGTAACGCCTTGGTGTTTCGGGTGTCCATGGGGTGCCAATTGCTTACCATCAGGTAATCCGTCTGCTCGTTTACCAGCTTATACCATAAAAAAAAGACACGTTGTGTGGCATAGTACAGTAGCTAATTCGCAAAGCCGTCAACCGTGCAAATAAAATTAACATTTTATCATAATGTTTCATATTTAGTCGATTCGACCAACACGTTCCTGCATCTATGCTTAGTATGTTTTGTGGTCACATCCCTATAAATCGAGTATTCGGATATTTTTGGTGAGACGCTGATTTTGATCGAAAAATACTTTTAATAAAATTTATTTCTCAATTTTAATACTACGACATGGCGTCGTTGGATCTTTTAACACCACATCTATCCAAAATCAGAATACCTAACTCGCAACAACTGATCTACAAAGATGAGTGTGTGTATTCTTTTGACAATCCGGTGAGTTGCAATTTTTATTATAACCTTTAAATAACATTTATTTCTGAATAAACCCTGTACCATTTTGCTCTTCTACATTAATAGCTGCATATTCTTCAATCCGGCATCATATTTCATGATCTGAAGTGGAACAGGCTTTTTCTTTCACAAATTGGTTTTTGATGGATACTGGTGGCAGGCAAATTAAAAAAAATAAATCCGTCTTTAGTCTCATTTCGAAGTACCCCACGAAAAATACCGGTCAGAGGTTCTGTATGTCCCTTATTCTCCTATGTTTAGGTAAAATATTAGTATTCTTGAAAAATACAAAGATATTTTTATGTGGGACTGTTGATGTGGATGATCATTGTTGGTCTAATACTAAGATGTAATTTTAACTGAAAATCGTCCTTAAGAATGAAGTAAGTTAATTATAATGGAATATATTGAATAAGGTTTAAAAACTGTTATTGTTGTGCTTATTAGAATCTTATAGAATTCTAATAAGAGGAAAAAGAAATAACTGAGTGAGATTCTTTCAAGTCTTTATTTATAAATTACAAATAAACATCAAATAATGAAAATTTGAAATATTTTTAAAAAAGTGGTAAAATCTTTTCAAATTGGGCTTACAGTATTATCTTTAAAATACTTAGTATTCATAAAATTCTTTACGGCCTGATACACATTAGCAATTACATTAAAAATAGAAGTCCGCATACCATTCATGGTGTACGAACACAATGTGAGAGATAAAAATGTATCCAACATTACGGGACTCCAAAATAATACATTGTATAACAATTCTCTAGTCACATAAGTCTTCACATTCTGTCTTTTCAACTCCATTAAATGTATCTTAGTCAGTATCACCGTAGAAATAGTAATTGGTACGAAATAACACACAATTACTACCACAAACATGAACAAAATCAGGTTCTTATTTTCTAAATAACATATTTTCATACAATCCTCTTGTTTACTGAATTTTGGTGTCCTGTAGAATGGACTTGACACATTGACATCTGCGTAACGAGTTTCATTTTGGTAATTTGCAATGATTTTGTACACATTATTGACTACAGAATTGAACTTTTCCTGTGTCTTATTGGGATAGTTTTCATTTTCATACATTGTAATATAATTTGGTGTGTGTTTCCGTAGTTGTAAGGTATCATTTATATCAATAGTCACTGAACAGTTGTCCCTACTAACATCTACTAGTGCCATGCAAGATTCACTTAAACTTCGCAAGTCACTCATAGGAATATTTGTCTCTTTAACATCCATTGAATACATAGAAACTGTTACTAAAAATGGCAATAACCACTGTATAGCTACTGTAATGAAACTGAAATATTTCTTCCATAATGCAAGTAGGCTTTCTATAGTAAATCTAGTTTGTATTCTGAAATTATCCTCTATTTCTCTTACTGCACTCTCATCTTCAGACCTCTTCACATCAGCAACCATTTTGTAGTGCATATAATTGTCTATAACAAGACTTAAAAAGCTATTTACCAAAGACACAATCAGGGGTCCGTAACTTATAAGTATTGATGTGAAACTGCAGTTCATTTCTTCATTATTCATCATGGCCGTTGTCCGTTCTTCCATGTCTGTCATTTCTACATTTAGAGGGCTTAGGTTGTATACTGCTCGGCTGATGAATGCAATGCCAATGCATGTGAGAAGTATGTTTTCTGATAGAAGGACAGCAGGAAAGGACACATTGTTTTCTTTTAATACTCTTCTTAGATTGAACAAACTTAGTACAAAACCACACAAGATTAGGAAACTTCCTAAGTATAAATCGATTGAGTTTAACATATTTGAATGGTTACTGCGCCAATGTTGTGACCGGAATGATCCACCAGCCCCCATATTTTTGCAGGGTAGAGATAGCTGTTATCAGACACATGTAAATTATTATGAGGGCGCTTTTTTTAATGTCGCGCTGTTTGCATAAAGGAAAGTTTTTTATTTTATGTATTGTAACTTACAATTTGTAAGTACACTCATACACTGATAGTGGTTTGAAAATAATGTGATCAACTTTCTACTTAAATTTGTTATCTAACTCAATTCTATGTAGATGTTATTGTTTGCGGTTTTGTTTAAGGTCGCCACAGAGTTTGACATGATTAAAAAACTTTGCGTATTGTTGTACAGATATTTAATGAGGTTTTTATTTCAGGAATCCGATACTGGCCTGTATGTTTCGCTAGTGAGCTACCTCGGCTTCGGTCGCAACTACGTCGAGCAGTACTTCCAGAAGACAGGCAACAATGTCTTCTTGCACATCAAGAGGGAAAAGAAACCCGTGAGTTTTATTCATTAACATGTTTTATTAACCTTTATCGGCATAATAATTTAATGTACTCACTACCCAGGACTTGCTACTAACTGTACATTATCCAATAAGAATTATTCAGCATTAAACTCTAGAGATTACCAAGTGATAAATAGCGTCACGGTGGACTGCACTAATCAATAGTCAAATGGTTGCTCTCGTGTTCATAAAGCAGTTAAGGCAAGTTGAGCAAAATCCTGAATTTATGCAAACCCTACCTAAAAAAGATTCCAATTTTCCGATCAACTCTTTATTCCGACAGTGGTAATAAGGAAAAGCAGTTTAACAGCGTAAAAACGGTTATTTACAATTCGCATTTTATGCATATGGAATGAAGGAATGAAAAAATTGTTATTAAATTCTATTTGTCGCAGGTCCCAGAACCAGAGAAGACCGGTGATGGTCCAGAGAAGAAGATCACGCGGTTAGCTATCGGCGTAGAGGGCGGGTTCGATCCCGCATGTGGCAAAGCGAAGTTCACATTCACTGACCATTACAGCGTTGTGGTCCTGCCTGGTTTCCATACCTTCCCATGGCCTAGCGATGCCCTGCCTGAAATTGTAAGTAATTTAAGTAAAATTACGATTTATTCGATGAATTTTTGGTTAGTTTTATGGTGCCACTTCATTCCTAAAGGCTCAACGTCAAACTGTCGACTGGAATAAAATCAAACCAATGTGATATGATTCATACAAAAGTAGTCTCTAAATAAAGGAAATTAGGTCTTTTATAAAGGTGGGTATTACCCACCTTTATACCATACCCACTGGGTAAGAAAGGACCCCGGTGTCCTCTTAGCTTCTTAATAATCCAGGAATGGACTCTACACCTTAATAATTGTAATTCATAATTTAAGTATAACCACTGCTTAAGTTTTGTGGGCCTGTTACTTATGGCTATCGAAAACAGTATGTGAATAGAAATAACTGAGCATTAGTGGTTTGACTGAACGGTTGGTGCGGTGGCTGGGCAACCGGCTTCCATGCAACGTGTCGCGGGTTCGATTCCCGCACGGAACAACACTTTGTGTGATCCACAAATTGTTGTTTCGGGTCTGGGTGTGATGTGTATGTGAACTTGTATGTTTGTAAACGCACCCACGACACAGGAGAAAATCCTAGTGTGGGGCAACGTTTTTAAAAAAATGTGGATCTCAAAATTTTCGTGAACATCAAAGGGAGTGCGAATTTGCTTTTACGCGATCGTATGCCACGGCGTTTAGCCCTCTGATTCTAGCCTCTGAAGTGCAGAAGAAGGAACGGGGTGGTTTTTAATCAGTAAGAGTCTGACACTCCCTCTATCCTCACCCGGGCGGGAGAAGTAATTTGATGATTTCCCCCATTAAAAAAAAGCTCTCTGATTAGTCGGTTAATTGGAGCTGGCCAATCAGAGCGTCGAACGTGAAACAAACTTCCACTAGGCTCCGATTTCTTTTCAGATTTCTCAGCCATTTGAATAATCTTCATGAAACTATAAAGAAACCGCTAAAGTTGTTGAATTGGTACTTATTAGATTTGTATACTACAAGTATTGGATACTGTGCAGGTGAACAAAGCCGTCCAATCAGTGATAGAGGCGGAGTCCCCGTTCAAGATCGCAGAGTTGGCCGCGCTGCAGGGCACCTGGGATGGCGAGAAACGCGAAGTCTCTGTGTGAGCTGCCATTTTATTATAACACTATAAATAACATAATATCCTGCCTTATAATCCTCAATGTAATGTGTTACTCATAAAATGTCAGTTATGTTATGAGTCCTTGCTATCTTATGGCTTGTCACCATTATGAAGCATAATACTACATTCCATATTATAATTACTTAGAAATTTTACAGATCAAAAGATATTTTGTCCGCCCTGAGAATCGAACTCAACACTCCTTCCAGTGAAGCAGTCGATTGTAGATAATAAATACTATTCCTTTTGAAAATTGCGAAAAAAATCTAAATAAAGCTTAGATTAACTTGAATCTGAAGTTACACTAGGTTTTTAGCTATATAAAAATTGTACATAATATAATTTCTTATTGAAGTTAAACTTATTAGACAAACTACGTATTTCGAAAACAATAAAGTTTATATGTCTATCTGTCTAACGGAAGATTTTCATTAATATTGGGCCATACAGCCGGTTTATCGCGAAAATCAAATAGGTTCCGACGGGGACAGGATTATGATAGATAACGCGCGATAACTGATAACCATATGTTAACCATTCACCACAATGTTAACTTCCTAAGTTAGGAAGTATGTAATTAATTGATATTTATCCCAATAGGAATTTGCATGATGAAATAACATTGACTCAATCTTAATTTAGCTAAATAAAATAGGAAATTAAGATCTCATAGGTTTTCTCACCGGCTATTTAAGATACTTTACTTACTCTATTACTATGAAAGACAAAACAGATTAAAACCTAACTGCAAAGTACAAATATCTAATAAAGATAGCTTCATGACTAATAAAATATGTTCATCTTCCAGACATGCAGTGAACTTGAAGCAGTTGGACAATGGCGTGAAGATCCCGCCGTCGGGCTGGAAGTGCGACAAGTGCGACCTGACCACCAACCTCTGGCTCAACCTCACGGACGGCGCCGTGCTCTGCGGACGACGGTTCTTCGACGGCTCCGGGGGAAATGATCATGCTGTTAGTAAAACTTAATGGCCATTTTCACCAACCCCTTAATTATCTCTTAATCACTTGATATAAATCCCCAAAATTTGTTCATACAAAAGTGGCCTCTAAACATCAGACATAAGATCTATAATGGGCATAGTGGAGAGCAGTCACCGGTGACTGCTTGGGGATTAATCAGCTAACTAAGAGTTTCATAGCATTAAGACCAAAATATTATTTAATGATACCAAACCTCATTCGTGGAAATCGCATTAACATTACCTAAACTAGTGAAGCAACGAAATTACAAGCATAATAAAAATATTACCTAACAGGATGTGTTTATTTTCAGGTGGAACACTATCGACAGACTGGCTTCCCTCTGGCTGTGAAGCTGGGCACCATCACCGCAGATGGCAAGGGTGATGTGTTCTCGTACGCCGAGGATGACATGGTCGAGGATCCCTTCCTAGCCGACCATCTCAAACATTTTGGTATCAATGTGCAGCAGTTGCAAAAGGTATCTAATATTTTACTTATAAGAATTTTTCTTGAGCAAATGAAAGGAAATTGTTGCAATGCAAAATTTCAAGACTCCACTCTTGTTATTCAGAATTTGAATCGGAAACCTAGTATAAATCTGTAACCAATTTTACTTACCATTCTAATGAAGAAGTGGTTAATGAAATATACTAATTTTACAATACTCATTAATTAAAAAGCGTGTATATAAATTTCCAGACGGACAAATCAATGATCGAGCTGGAGCTGGAGCTGAACCAGCGCAGTGGAGAGTGGAACACGCTGCAGGAGTCGGGCAGTGAACTCAGACCTCTGTGTGGACCTGCACTCACTGGACTCAACAACCTCGGGAACACTTGCTACATCAACAGCGTTGTACAGGTACATTATTCACTTATTATACATATTTTTCGCTGTCCTGGATTTGCACCAATGCTGTTTGCTAGGATACTAAGATTTTAAATACTAGGATTTTCTCCTGTGTCGTATTTGATTATTTCTCATACAAATAGTGTTATTATAATGAAATAAAATACCCAATTTACACTTAACATCATATTGGATCTAATTTACACTAAACAAAATTGAAAAATCCAAATTTTCATGTAAATAAATCCTCTACCTACTTTTAAAGGACTGTCTATTTATCTAGGTATTGTTCCGAATGCCTGACTTCGTCCGTCGATTCGTGGACGGAGCGCCAGAGATCTTCTCCACCTTCCCAGAGGACCCGGTCAATGACTTCAATGTGCAAACGTAAGAATTACTTCTTTACTTGTAAACAACTTAATAAATAGTAGATGGGTCATATATATCAAAAATAAATTATATTCTTTTATACATTGCAAATACAACAAACTTTAAAAAAAAACACGTTGCCCCACACTATGTATTTCTCCTGTATCGTGGGTGCGTTTACAAACATACAAGTTTATATACACATGACACCCAGACCCAGAACAACAATCTGTGGATCACACAAACAGTTGCTCCGTGCGGAAATCAAACCAGCTACACGTTGCGCGGCAGCCGGTTACCCAACTACCGCGCCAACCGTACAAATTTATTCTCCGTGTCTTCTCATACGGAGAAGCTCACGAAGGATCACACAATGTGATGTAAATTTCTCATTGACCATTTTTTATGTTTGACAGCGCGAAGTTAGGCGTGGGCCTAATATCGGGTCGCTACTCGTTCCCGAGCTCGGAGGGCGGCTTCCAGGCGGGCGTGTCTCCGCACATGTACCGCAACCTGGTCGGGAAGGACCATCCCGAGTTCATGAGCAAGAGGCAACAGGATGCGCACGAGTTCTATCTCCATGTACTGTCGCTCCTACAGGTACATCATTATTGTTTATTAATTATTACATGTGTTGTGTATTGTTTTATTACTGTTCATCTTTTTGGGATTGTGAATTGTTTGATAGATTATAATTGGTGACTAAAATGAGTAAAAAATTCCTGTAATATTAATGTACAAAATCTTTTCCATACAACCTTAGCATGCATGAAACAGATACATAATCTTCGAGGTTGAGAGAACCACAATAAGTTACTGGATGCAATGCGATGCAAAAAATCCATCCCCTAAATTTGGTCATACAAAAGTAGTCTCTAAACATTGGAAATAAGGTCTATAATGTAATGTAATATTAGGGGAGAGCGGTCACCGGTGACCGCTTGGGGATCTATGGGTTAAGAGTCTGATATTCTTCTTTGTCCGACCCAGGATTGGAATAGTTATAAAATTAAAATAAAATTTATTTATTGGCATACATACTACACATAGATATGAAAGTAAACAGCATTCACATAAACCGCATAAACGCAAACGTGACAGAGGTGCCCGTGGGCCCCAAACTAGGTACAGTCTGTATCTTGGTGGCCCAGTATTAAAGGTTTAGACTAGTGAATTCTCGCATCATGCTTGATAATTTTCCTCCCTTAAAAAACCATAATGTATGTCCACCCGCAGCGCCACAGCCGCCACAAGGCCAACCCGGCGGAGTGCCTGCGGTTCACGGTGGAGGAGCGCGTGCAGTGCGGCGCGTCCCGCGGCGTGCGGTACACGCGGCGCGCCGAGCACCACCTGCCGCTGCCCGTGGCGCTGCCGGCCGCCACCAACGCCGCGCAGCTGCACGACTACGAGGCTCGCCGCGCGCGCGCAGACGCCTCGGGACAGCGACTGTCAGTACCCACGTATATCTTTTATATATATTATAATTCTTTTGTGAGTGTTTATGTCACTGAACTTCTCTCAAACAACGACCGAATTTGATGACATTATTTGTGTGTGTTCAAGGGGATCTGGGAATGGTTTAGATCCACAAATCAGCCCGGCAGATGGCGCTGCAGTCGGTTTCTAGGTTATTTATCTATACCTATTATTACAGGACAACGTCTGTCGAGTCCGCTAGTCTATATATATAGAAATGAAACCCGTTTCCCGTTGTCACACCATAACTTGAGAACGGCTAAACCGATTGGGCTGATTTTTTTTAAGTGTTTTTTGTCGTCAGGAGAATGTTCTTATGACAGAAAAATGTCCTGAAAATCCTACGGGAATCGGAGAAACGGGATTGCGAGTATAAAGTCGCGGGCAGAAGCTAGTACACAATAATTCACTAGTGCTACATTCAAAATATTTCTGGTATACAAGAGGCAAACAAGCAGACGACCGTTCAGCAACCGTTCTCCTAAAACTGATTCGCCACTGGACTATTCGTCCACAGGATGATTAACTCGTCGAGTACCGTATTTATAGACACAATTAAAGAACAATAGGTTGCGGTCACCGGTGACCGCTTGGTGTTTCACAGTTTTATTTATTTCCATTTCCCCAGCAGGGTGTTCAGCTCAGCTTGGCAGTGCAACCACAAGTTGCACTTAAGATACTAACTTAAGATACTATTCTAATTACTATTTTCAGTTTGTAATATAAACAACATTCCAGGGACCCATCAGAGATAGTGCGGCCACACATCCCATTCCAAGCATGTCTGGACAGCTTCATGAAGGAAGAGACCGTCGAGCAGTTCTTCAGCAGCGCCGTCAACAAGAAGGTCACCGCTCACAAGTTAGTATCATACCCTGTTATAAATACTAAGTAATAAATGTAATGAGTTTCTTATCCGTTTTTACCTATTTGCGTCGCCTTTCAAGACACAAAAGGGACTGTCACACTAACACCCTGTTTCTGAAAAAGCTGATTAACGCAAAAATTTAAACGTATGTCGATGGTGATGTAGATATTATCAATAACATCACGCTTTTATTCCCGAAGAGGTACATATAGGTACAATGTTACACTCACTTTTTAGTATTTATGTTATGAGTCTCCTATTACATGGGACTCATAAAGTGTCTATTGCCGGGCACAATTCCAGGCTCAGATTTGTTTTAAATCCAGTAATACTTTACCCGACCCGAGAATCAAACCGAGGACTCCTTGCCGGGCTGCGACCACTCGGCCAACGAGGCAGACAATTCTTAATTGTAATTGTATGCCTATACCTAAAATCAAATATTGTAACTCGCTTGTTTTTAGTAAATAAACATTTTTTTTTATTTATTTATTTAATTATAAATTCGTAAGTTCACATACCAGGCCAGTTGTTGTATAAAGTATCTTTTTATATTGTTTCCAGGATCACCCGTCTCGCCACATTCCCAGACTTCCTACTGATTCAGCTGAAGAAGTTTACCATCAAGGAAGACTGGACGCCCGCTAAACTAGACGTCGCCGTCGACATGCCTTGGGAGGTACGCACTTCTTCATGCTACATAATAATCTACGCTTTGAGACAAACAACTTAATACCATCACTAAAATATATGACAGACATATTTTCATGTTGGGGTTAATACTGATATCATGTTAACTTATAATGTTATTTTGTTTATAGGTGGATCTAAGCTGCCTGCGCGGTCGCGGTCTACAGCCGGACGAGGTCCAGTTGCCTGACGCCGCGCCAGAGACTCCCGCGCCCGTCTTTGATGAGGCACTGCTCGCTCAACTTGTAAGTACTTGTAATCGGTATTTGATTTTTAGCACTAATTTGAGTAGATTCTTGAAATTTATAATCAATTAGCTTCTGCCCGCGACTTCGTACACGCAATCCCGTTTTCTGCCATTCCCGTAGGATTTTCAGAACTTTTCCTGTCTTAAAAACCTTTTCCTAATAATAACAAATACAAAAAAAAAGAATTAGTGAAATCGGTCCAGCCATTCACGCGTGATGCCGTGACCAAGGGAAAAAGGGATTCATTTTTATATATACATATATCGATTCAGCTCTTTTAGTACAAGAGAAAAAGTTGGCTCGGAACATTTAATAATGCACCTCAGGCATATCTGACAGTATAGTAATTAACTCGTCGAGTACCGGTTTTATAGACACAATTAAAGAACAATGGGTCGCGGTCACCGGTGACCGCTTGGTGTTTGACAGTTTAATGACTTATCTTTGTTTGTGATTTTAGTTAGATATGGGCTTCCCGCTGGAGGCATGCAAGAAGGCGTTGTACTACACGAACAACTGCGGCATGGAGGCTGCATCCAACTGGCTCATGGAACACATGACCGACTGGGACTTCGCCAACAAGTTCGTGCCACCTGGCGCTGCAGGTAATAAAATATACTTGTAATTTAAACCAGAAGTACTGTACTATGTATAGACTGTAGACCTATATGCTTTTAATTCTAAATCTGAGCATTGTTTAGTACTTAATCTCACAAAAACAATAGTTTATAAAAGTGAAGGTGGTTTTAGTTATTCTTAAATATTTGTTTTTAAATTACAGGTGCAGCGGAGAGTGGCGCGGCGGGTGTGGACGAGGCGAGCGTGGAGCAGATAATGGGCATGGGCTTCACTCGCGCTCAGGCGGCGCGCGCGCTCGGCGCCACGCAGGGAGACGTCGCGCGCGCACTCGACTGGATCTTCAGCCGGGTCGATGAACTCGACGCCGCAGAGCTCGACGCACCCGCCCATCCTGACGCCGACCGCACCCTCGGCTGCAGGGACGGACCCGAGAGTAAGCCATTATCAATAATTTTTAGCAGTCTACCTCTGCTTCACACTGTTGCTATTACCCAATCCCCTCGGTGAATATCGCCCGTTTTTAAAAATCCAACAAATTTTTGGCCTAACTCTAACGAACACACGAAGTTATCCGATTTGGTTTAGTCATTCAGAAATTACAAGCATGTAGAAATGTGACAGTAATTTGCTTATTATTTTTATTGCAGAGTACAGATTGGTGGCGTTCATATCTCACATGGGCACGTCCTCCATGGTGGGGCACTACGTGTGCCACGTGCTGCACGAGGGACGATGGGTCATATTCAATGATAATAAGGTACAGACTACTTTTTATTGTTGTCATTTGCAAGTTCACAAAAGCTTAACATTAGGATCTGCTCATACAGACTTCGGCTTGGAGTGGAGAGCAGATTTTTATCGCATTGAAAATTGAACTTTGATTAATTATAGTAAGGTTTATTTTCTAATCTGCACTTCTTTTGTCATAATGAATGCTCGAACGCGTTTTCTGTAGCCGGTCTCTGTGAACATACCCTAGACTACTACTGAACGTAAAGCTAATTCAGTTTTTAATTATTTAGTTTACAATTTAAATGAAGCTAATGTTTTTGAATTGTATTTTCAGGTGGCGCTATCAGAAAATCCGCCCAAAGATCTCGGCTACCTGTACCTATACGAGAGGCTGTGATCATCATCATGTTAGAACTGACTTGTTTGTACCAAAAATCGCTGGCACGGTTGTATGGGATACGAATATCTGTGTTAGACTGCGTTTGTATTATGTAAACATTAAGAGATTTTAATAAAAAACAACTTTTAGGCGATATTTATTTTATAGAAAAATAAAAACAAATTGTTAAGAAATTTAATTAGGTTAATAAAATTTTTATCTAATTATTTTGCATAGAAAATGCTTTTGTGTTGCAATTTAACGTAAGATTTTTTATCTGTTTTGTAGTTTGACAGTTAAGATGTGTAGTTAATGAATTAGAGATGCATAATCCTTGTAAGCAGGTAGGACAAGCAGTATTTCGAGTGTGAATATTACACAAGGAATCTCGTGCCCTTTAACTAATAAACTTTTTGTAACAATTATGTTAACTAAGCTGTATATTATTTTCCTGGTATACATAATATTATATTGTACGATATTTTTTGTAACTGTACTAGAAGTACAATTTTTTCAGTAACTTACTGCCGTACCATTATTAATGAATGCATTTATTGAAGAAGCAGCTTACTGTTGAATTATTTAACTGTAAAATATCATTAAACATCACTATAAACAACGAAAACTGAAAATAAACTATTACTGAAAATGCTCTCTATTTATTTATTTTCTTTTACCCTACATGCGCCTTTCACAAAGCGGAGAAGAAAAGAATAGTCGTAGATAGCGACTGTGTGAGAAAGGGTTTATTTGAACTCTGATAACGAACTGCCAGAAAATACTGCAAAAACAATTATACAATATTGCTTTTTTTTGAGGGAGGAAAATCATCCAATGACCTGTTGAGACGAAAGGGAGTGTCAGACTCTTAAGCGCAGGCCACGCCGCCAGCTAACGGGCGGGCGAACATCGTTTCACCTCTTTACATACTTCGGTTCACACCGCGAGCTCCCGACTAACCTAACGAGCTAAGCTAACGAAATATTCGACGATCCCAGCGAAGCTACTCGTTCACCTCGTTGGCGCGTCCGGTTGTTCGCCCGTCCTCCCCGTTTCGAGTAGACTAGTCGACGCTCGTCTTTCGAATAGGAGTGTACTGTTTAGTTTGTGAACGATGAATATGTCATATATGACGACGAAAGTTCTGATGATGATACTACAAATGTTAAAAAAAATATTACTATTAAATTCTAGTCTGTCCCTAGTTTTCGGTGTGAAACCCATAGTTTAGCTCGCCAATATTTTGCGTAGTTTGTAGATTCCTTCGTTCGCTTCGCCCACCGGCGTAGCCCGCCGGCCCGCTAGCTAGAGGTGTAGCTTTTACTGACTAATAACCACCCCGTTCCTACTCCTGCACTTCGAACCGGAGCCCCGGTAACCCGTTAGGTTTTCCGCAACAATATTTATAGGATTTTATATTTTATGGGCCATTGGAGAGGCCTATGTGCAGCAGTGGACGAGAACAGGTTGTTAAAGATTGTGATGATGGGATAATACAATACACCATCTATTGGGCATTTGAGTAAGTCTTGTGGTTTATCCCCTTTATCAAAATCTGTCCTAATTAGCGATTATTGAAGCCTCTAGTCTTGTCCTAGATCATTTTATAAAATCTTATAATATCTAAAATTACTGCCTCGTTGGCCGAGTGGTCGCAAGTGCGACTGCCTTCTCAGTAGTAGCACGGAGTCTGGAATTATGCCCGATATATGGCAATAGGCTCACCCCCTATTACATGGGACTCATAACATAAATAGTGAAAAGTGGGTGTTACATTGTACAGTGGCATAATGTGCACCTCTGCATACCCCTTCAGGGATAAAAGGCGTGATGTTATGTTATTAACATCTAAGTATAGGAAAGGACCTAAACAAAACGATAAATAAAAAACAATGTAACATCTACATATTAATATTTTACAGAGATTTACAAAATAAATGTATAATTAACGTTTGAATCTGTCCACAGGTTTCGGAATTCTTTTCATAAATATTGTTCTCTCATCAAAGTAGGTGTTGAACTTTTTATAGTCCTTTCTCTTCCTTGGATCCTTGTTGCAGTTGTCAGGAGTCAAGTTAATCATAAGACCTGTAACAATAAGTAGTAAAATTACAAAGAGAACTATGGCTACATAAATAATAATCAATAGTGGGTGTTTTACATTGTACAGTGGGTCTACCCCTTCGGGGGTGAAAGGTTTATTGTTATGTTAGCTTTGAGTTAAAATGCTTACTGGCTATATACCGAGGTGTTTTATCCTACGTTAATTTAACAAAATTTTACAATATTACAAAGTTAAATTCTGACTGAAAACAAACATGTAAAGCACCGTATAGTACCAAAATAAATTACTCTTTAGTCATAATAAAATGCGTCAAGCTTATTAACAACTAGATTTAGAAATATTTACTAGTTTCGTTAAGTGTACATACCAGCTTTCTGAGCCATAGTCACTAACTTGCCCATTTTCTTCTGTTGTCTTCGACACAAGCCAGTGATTCTACGAGGTAACATGCAGCCATCTGACCTCACAAACTGACTCAGGATAAGAACATCTGTGTGTTTCACATCTAATCCTAAAGCACACATGTAGCAAGGAGGCTTCTCTGATGGGCTCACCACAGGCTCATAATTTGGAAGGTTCTCTGCTCGAACCAAGAGCTCAGTGCGCGGTGACGGCACATTAATAGCTTCTATTACTATTGAAGAACCTTCCGTACGTTCACGAACTGAAATCAAATAAGAATTAACCAAATTGTATTACGTTGAGGTTATGTCACAATAAGCTCTTAAATTATACATAACAGTTATTAGTACTCACTCTCTTTCAAATTTAAGGGATTTGTCGTTGCTATGGAGCGTATTGATGTTGAGAAAATAGCATTTCTAGCAAAAGAAAATCCTGCTCGAACTAACCCCGCCATGTTTATTTATTTTACTATCTGTCAAAGTGACATTATACAAGTGTCAAAAACGTTTAATTGCATTAGTTGCGTCAGATTAACGGTAGAAAATATTATTTACAATATGGCAACATTATTCGGATATCTCAACTTCCGACTAAATTAGCGCGAAATTTATAAATTCAAAAATATCTTTAGAATATGAAATATTATGTAAATTATTTATTTTGCCTTTTAACGGGTTATAAATTCATTATAGGCAATAGGTAATATTATGTAAGCTTAATATTCAATTTAAGTAAGTAAATGGATTTAAGAAAAATTATTTTATTATATTTTTCCATCATAATACATAGTGATGTAGACCTTAATATTAAAAATATTCCATTGTGTAGGTAAAGCTAGGAATTTATAAAATAATGAACTCGAATTATGGATCGCATGTATTTATTGAACAACACATAGTATGATAATTTAACAGGTATAGAAAATAAGAATATCTCGATGAACAATAATAATTTGATTAAAATTGATTTTAACAGATAAACACATACAAGCAACAATTTTAAGCGCCATTTCAAAAATATGACTGTTTTGTATAATAAATATCTACTATATTTTAACATCCGTATATTCGTATCATAAAATAGACTGCTAAGCAGTAGTGTAAATAACAGATATCATATTAATATATTTAGGCTTCGTAAGCGTTATCACTATTAATAAATGTACGCAAAAGTGCCTGTGTGTTGGTAAGGTAGGTACTATTGTAGGAACAATGAATTTTATTTCTTATTTTAATTTGTAAAAGGCTATCATGGACGGTTTTAAGCCAAGCATAGAAATTCGAGACAAGTGTATGCGAAATGCATTTCAAATGCAAAATATAAAATGATCTTACAATAACTTAATATTACCTTAACAAATAATATAGACGAGTATACATGAGATTGCAATTTTGTGACTTAAATATAAAATATTTAATGCAAATTCATATTTTTAAACATAATTTTAATAATAAATTTGCAAAGAATATAATGCATAGTCGTTAAAGTATCGTTAGGTAATTAATACAATATTTTATTTTGTTCTTAACAATGTCACTGAACATTTATGTTAGTAAAACTTACTAACTAAAAAACTATACAATATTGTACTATTAATTAAAACAAAACTTACGAACAATGTGCATGTTTATAAACAAAATGTGATACGACTATTCGAAATGTGTGTAGATAGGAAAAATAACAAGTTTTGTATAACATGAACTGTCAACCTGTTCTTGACCATAACAGCCAAGTCAGAAGATACTTTAAAATCCAACTTTTATATTTATTTGTATTGTTTTTACAATACACTCCATAGACATTCAAGATAGTTTAGGCCTTAAAGTTACATAATAATTGAATCCTGTTATGTTTCCACTCCACACTTGAAGGTAGCGATGATGGTATAGGCGTGATGGACATCTACTTGGGGAAGGCGGTCAGGCCCTTGCTCAAGAGACCGGAGGCGCCTGTTGATGCTTCGTTGACAGCGGACGACAGGTTCGTCAGAAGCTGGAAAAGTTAAAAACGGTTTAATATCTCTTCTTCTTTTGTCTTTAATATATGTTTGGAAGATAGGTACAACGAAAGAATGCACCAATTAAATATAGTAATATGGTACACAAGACCATTTATTTTAAAATACTTGGTCTATTTTTACTGAAATTTTTATGTTTAAAACCAATATATTTTTCGATTCAGTATCCACAATAACTGTTAAGTATGCACCTAAATGTTTTTGTTTTAATTCTGTATTTTGTGATTACTAAAATACATACATTGTCCCTCTTCTCGTTGAGGTATTTGTCAGCGTCCTTGATCTTGGAGTCGACGACAGAGCCGGCGTTCTTGATGCCCTCGTCAGCAGCATTTTCCACCCTCTTGAGAGTGTTGTCTACTGTGCTGTTGATGGCGTTGCTGGCATCTGCAGCCGCTTTCTCAGCAGCCTTCTTAGATTCCTCTATGGCTGCGTCTGAAATTGTGTTTTAACAGTGACTTGACTGTACTCTACCGAGCATTGAAAGTTAATGCAGATAAAAAATTGAAGTAGTTTTTTTTAATAATTTTGTGACTGCAATTTGCTGCTCATCCAAATAATTATCAGCAGTTTTACTTCCGACTACTAAACCAACCTACCTACACAAACATGTTATGGAAATTTTTTACGAACTCATTATTTTATAGTCAATGTTAAATCAACTTTGTTAATCGAACAATAAAATAATAAAACTTTCTCTTCTATCTTTTGGACCTTTAAGTGAACCTATTTGCTCGTTCTAAAGTAGCATTCCTAAATAGAAAAATAAATAAGAAGGATCTTTAAGTTTTAGGTAACTTTATGTTTCTAGCTTATTTTTTCTCTATCAGCCATTTTAGTAACATTTTCAAATATGACTGCCTCGTTGGCCGAGTGGTCGCAAAGTGCGACTGTCGGGCACGGGGGCTCTGGTTCGATTCCCGGGTCGGGCAAAGTATTACTGGGTTTTAAAAAAATTCTCAGTAGTAGCACGGAGTCTGGAATTGTATCCGGTATATGGCAATAGGCTCACCCCCTATTACATGGGATTCGTAACATAAATAGTGAAAAGTGGGTGTTACATTGTACAGTGGCATAATGTGCACCTCTGCCTACCCCTTCGGGGATAAAAGGCGTGATGTTATGTTATGTTTAAATATCTGAAGTAGGACTTACTAGCAACACGCTTGGCCTCATCTTCGGCAGCCTTGGCAGCGAGTCTGGCCTTCTCCTTGGCATCCTCAGCGGCCTTCGCGGCCTGAGCCTTGGCGTCCTCAGCTGCCTTCTTAGTCGCGTCCACCGTGGTGTTGATCGTATCTGAGAAAAAACATCATTGTTTAATAAAGGAATATTTTTTGATATTTTAATTTATGCTAATTTTGAAAACCGGCTTGATCACACTAAACCTAGACCTTCCTTAATAAAAAAACATTATTACAATATTTACTCCATTATTTTTATAGTATTACCCGTCATAGGTTTCAAACGACAATATATTTAAATTTGGAACAAATCAGTCAGATTTTTTTTCTCGATATCGCATCGTAATTTTTAAGTAACAATAGGTATGTATTATGTATGTACATGACATTCACAGTCCTTGCAATATTAAAATACCTACTTAGATGACGTCATTTAAAAATATCATTACGTACATAGATGTTTATGGAATTAAATATTATGCTGTATATGTGACTAGTCCTAGTCATTACATTTTTTTAATGGGATTCATTAAACAAGATTTTTATTTATGTTAAATAATTAATGGCGGTGTCCACATCGATAAAATTACTAATTCATACAGGTAATATGGAAATTAACGTAAGATGTTTGTAAATTGCTAATTTTAATTATACGTACTCGTACTTAACTAGAGTGAGTAATGTTTTTGGATCGTTTATGGTAGTGCATTGGAACATAGTGGTTCCAATACCTATCTAGATATTAGGTAGGTTTTCTTAACTGGCAACCCTACAAAAGTACCATTCAAAAATAAAACTACATATAGACTATTTTATCCGTCAATCATTTACCGATGTGGACTTATAAGATTAAAACAAATAAAATAAGTTAATTAATCACTCTAAACACACAAATGATTAAATTAGCTATTTAATGGTAAGTTATTATTTTTTGTTACTAGTCACACTACACTCTATGTACCGGTTGTATCTTCAACGCGCTTTTGACAAACTCCGAACGCATCTTTGGGCCCTTTGAAGTTGTTTTGAATTAAACCTACAAACAATTTACCTGAGTCAATACACATTTTTGATTTACGAATTCCAGTTTGTTAGGAAAATCCAGTCAGTTATGAAAATAGTACTCGATCTCAGGTACTTTTCATTCTTGCGTATTATAGTATTAGAAGCGCTATGAGATCAAAATTAACTACGAATGTGTTTGTATCTGTAGGTCAAAACATAGATGAAAAGTGACGCATGAAAAAATGAAACACAATAAGCAGTAAAGAAAAAACACGTTACATGTGTTTGCATTTTGAAAAACAAAAGTAGGTATATTGTCATTTTTCACTTTACACTTATAGAACATGATAAAATGATAGTAGGTATTAACGTAATTAAAACACAATCTGAAAGAAAACACACATTTGGAAAACCATCCGTTAAATTTCTAATTAGGTACTAAATGACTACAGATTACCACACACCATTAGTAAAAGATAAGCGAAAAGGAAAATGAAGTTATTAAAAAGTTTAGTTACCTTCAACTGATTCTAAGCCAGTCTCAGTTTTGTCCGCCCCCGTCTCAGCTACGTTAAAGAGCGAGTGCGCTACAGTCTCTAAAGAAAGTTAGCAGAAAAGAAAAAGAAAAATTTAAAAAGGTAAAGAAAAAAGCATAGTTACGTACAAACTAAATCATGCAACTACCAAAAAAAAACAAATGGATACAAAAACGATTAAAAACAAAATGAGGGAGAATTTTCTTTATTGTTTTTTTTTTATCGAAATGATCATGTCGTCTATACCTTTGGCACCTCCAACCATATTCACTCCTTTATCAAAAACTGAAGATGCTGCATTCTTTGTTGTGTCAACAGTGCTCAGTACAGTGCTTGATACTGTATCTACAAAGCAACATAAAATACTTTGTGTAAAATAATAAAGAAAAAAAAATAAACCCAGAATTCAAACTCCGCGCCACGCAAGCCAACGTAGGTGTAGATACTCATTATTCATTATTATCTCAGCCAATAATATGCTAATAACTTTAAAAAGTAACTAATGAATATGCGTCATAAATATCGAGTAATTAAATAATGTGTTGCCAGTTTAAAAATTATATAATGTAAGTAAAAATCCTAAAACAATACCTTTGGCATTTCCTAGAAACGATACGCTTGTGTCTACAGCACCAGATGCTACATTCTTAGCTGAGTCTACTGTGCTTGCCAACGAATCTACGATGTGAAAATAATAAAATAAATAAAAAATGCGGAAATAAAAAAATCTAATTAAAAGCTTAGCACTCCCTACAAACCTTTAGCACTGCCTACAAAAGCCGCGCTTTTATCTACTGCTGATGAAGCAACATTTTTCGTGGCATCTACTGTGCTATGTACTGTATTGGCAAGTGTGTCTACAAAAGAAAAAAAGAGTGTAAAGTAAAATGAAAAAAAAACCTAATTGAAATTACTATTGCGTGACTGACTACCTTTAGCACTGGTGGCGTACGACACACCTGTGTCTACCGCAGAAGCGGCCGCTTGTTTTGTAGAGTCAAACGTATGTGCTACTGTGTCTATAAAACAAATGTGTTTTAAATATCAAATAGAACGAGTTTAATTATTGCTTTGTAGGTCACAAATACCTTTAGCACCTCCAACAAATGATGCTCCCTTATCTACAGCCGATGAAGCCAAACTTTTCGTAGTATCTACAGTGCTATGAACAGTGTTTGTTAGCGTGTCTACGGAAGAAAAGAAAAAAAAAAAATAAAAAAGGAAAATTAATAAAAGTAACAAAATGTCTTTGAAATTCTAACTACCTTTAGCACTAGCAGCGTATGAAACTCCTGTGTCTACTGCAGAAGCTGCCGCTTGTTTCGTTGTATCAAGAGTATGAGCTACGGTATCTATAAAAATATGTCCCTCGATAAATATAATAAATGAAAACATACGCAAAATTATTTCTTGAAAATATTTTTATCTAGCTTTGATACCTTTGGCAGTTCCTATTAAAGATGAACCTTTCTCAACTGCTGAAGCAGCGACATTTTTTGTCGTGTCTACCGTACTATGTACTGTGCTTGCTACTGTGTCTAAAAATAATACAAACAAAAAATAAAACAAAACATAAAATAAAAACAATAGATTACAAAAATAAAAAAGCATTAAACTATTTCACACTACCTCTTGCACTACCAATAATGGATGAACCTTTCTCAACAGCTGCAGCGGCGACATCTTTAGTTGTGTCTATCGTAGAATGTACAGTATTTGCTACAGTTTCTAATGAAAACGAAAAGTTAAAAATTAGCACAAATGTGGTGCAAATTAATAAGGATAATGACTTTTCTATTGTAGATACTTATGTAGGTAGCATTGTGTAACGAATTAATGATGTATCAACATATTGAGTTACCTTAAATTAGTACAAAATTAAAAGAATTAATGACTGATAAAAAGCTACCTTTGGCGGTGCCAATTGCATGTGTGCCTTTTTCAACAACGGCTGCGGCTACATTCTTAGTGGTGTCTACTGTCGCATGAACTGTGTTCGCTACTGTGTCTACATGAATGGATAACAAACAAGTGTACATATTAGCTACAATACAAAGCGAACATAAAGAAAATGATAGCATGAAAATATTTGCTAATTGGTATACCTTTAGCGGTGCCAATTGCGGTTGTGCCTTTCTCAACAACAGCTGCAGCAACATTTTTAGTCGTGTCTACTGTCGCGTGTACTGTGCTTGCTACCGTGTCTACACAAATGGACAACACCACACATTAGCTACATCACAAAGCAATCATTAAGTAAGTGTATATAATTTTGTTCTAAAATGTTTAACTACCTTTAGCGGTGCCAATAGCGGTTGTGCCTTTTTCAACAACGGCTGCGGCTACGTTTTTCGTCGTGTCTACTGTCGCGTGTACTGTGCTTGCTACCGTGTCTACATAAATGGATAATACCACACATTAGCTACATCACAAAGCAAACATTAAGTAAGTGTATATAATTTTGTTCTAAAATGTTTAACTACCTTTAGCGGTGCCAATAGCGGTTGTGCCTTTTTCAACAACGGCTGCGGCTACGTTTTTAGAGGTATCTACTGTTGCATGAACAGTGTTCGCTACTGTGTCTACAGGAGTGCAAAAATAAATATTGATGTATTAGCTACAATATAAAAATGAAAACACAAATCTAGTGCTAACTGCTAAGTACCTTTAGCTGTGCCAATCGCGGTAGTCCCTTTCTCAAAAGCGGCCGCAGCGACATTTTTAGTGGTGTCGACTGTAGCATGAACTGTGTTCGCTACTGTGTCTACAAGAATGGACAAATATTAGCTACGATACAAAGCGAACATCAAACGGAATGAATGTGTACAAATGTTTTTAACTACCTTTAGCGGTGCCGATCGCGGTTGTGCCTTTCTCAACAACGGCTGCGGCTACATTCTTAGTTGTGTCAACTGTCGCATGAACTGTGTTTGCTACTGTGTCTACATTAGTGGAAAAACAAATATTAGCTACAATACAAAGTGAACTATCAAATATGTGGTATGTTAACAAAAGTATGGACTACCTTTAGCAGTGCCAATTGCAGTCGTGCCCTTCTCAACAGCAGCAGCTGCTACGTTTTTAGTGGTATCTACTGTGGCTTGAACTGTGTTGGCTACCGTGTCTACGAGAATGGACAAATATTAGCATCAAACTAAAGTGAATTCATGAAGTGTATGAGAAAATAGTGTGTTTCTACCTTTAGCAGTGCCAAACGCAGCAGTGCCTTTCTCCACAGCGGCTGCCGCTACATTCTTAGTTGTGTCTACTGTCGCGTTTACCGTGCTTGCTACTGTGTCTACATATAAATAAATAAAATTAGCCAAAGTAGTAAACATAAATGATTTTAATATTTAACTACAGAAGTGAACTACCTTTGGCTGCGCCAATGAATGTTGTGCTTTGGTCTACAGCTGATGCTGCAGCGTTCTTAGTAGAGTCTACTGTGTTCTGTGCTGTGCTTGCTACGGTATCTATATTGCAAAATAAAATAAAATAAACATGGAGTCCCAACAAAAAAATAATAAACCTCAAAATTGTGCAATCTACCTTTAGCTGTGCCAAATAATGAAGTACTCTTATCTACTGCAGCAGCTGCAACGCTTTTAGATGTATCTACAGTGCTGGCCACCGTATCTAACGTAAACAAGGAAAATTAATAAAAATCACATAACAAAGTTATATTTGATACATTAGGAAACTGATATGGTGGATATTATTATGAAACAGGTAATTTACGTTGTTTGGAAACAGTGATGGATTTAGCCATTTGTTGGTACTAAGCTCCGGTAACTATTTATCGACAATGAATCATGGATTTTAAACGAATGATTTTTTTAAACTGGATAATCTTACCAGTGTTTAATTATAAGAATTTACAGGACTAAAGAGATTGGCCAAATACTTAATGAGAATGAATGAAAATAATATAATTATGACTCTACCTTTAGCTGTACCACTACCAATGAGCGTGGTACCCTTGTCTACGGCAGCGGCGGCTACATTTTTAGTTGTGTCTACAGTGGTGCTAATAGTGCTTGCTACGGTTTCTACAATAAATAAAATGCGACTTTATAATGCTAGTCAGCATTTATAATGAAGTAACGCGGGAATCGGCAAACTTTGAAATAAAAATTGCTTGCAAAAAACTTTCTCGACTAACTTTTCTGATGTTCAACAAGGGATGGAAAGTGAGTCAATCAGACTGTAAATGCGTGGAAGTTATTTAAGAACTAAATTTAACTGTACCACTGAAGTTCAGATAAAGCCAGTCTAAGCAGTTGTTAAAAAACATTACGATCTAAATAGGTAGTAATGAAGGCGCAATAGTTCCAAGGTTTGCCGATCCATAAACTATCAAAATGCTATACCTTTGGCAGTGCCAATCATAGTAGTACCCTTCTCAACAGCAGCTGCAGCAGCATTCTTAGTAGCATCTACAGTTGTGTGGACTGTGTTCGCTACACTATCTACAACGTAAAGTCAGAGATATATCACCGGACGTGTCGTGCCGCACCAAAAGTATATTGGTTTCATACATTTACTACGGTTAGAATGTCGTGGTGGCCAGGAGGTTAGGACGGGCGTCTCATGCATGAGACTGGTACTGGCTACCAATGTGACTTTTTCAGATAACTTTCTAAGATTATTTAGACACCACTGACAAACGGTGAAGGAAAACATTGTGAGGAAACCTGGAGTTATAGTTTTAATTATAAGTTTGAAATCGCCAACCCGCAATGAGCAAGCGTGATTAGGTAATGCTCAAACCTTCTCCGTGTGAGAAGAGGCTTTGCTCAGCAGTGGGCACTTATAGGCTGTTGATGATGACTACGGTTAGAGAAAAGATATAATTGTATGTCGTGTGGTGTCGCGTGGGTTGAGCAATACTTGCATCTGATTGGTGGCGCGAGCGCGAAACGTCACGGTAATGTATTTCCGTCATAACAATGCATTTATGACACGTCAAGCGAATAACGCGAACACGTGGATAAATTAATGGAGCGGAGAATTTAAAATAAAATAACCAAGGCCTTTAATAAAATAAAAATATTGTAGGTGTGTTCACGTACCTACGTGGTACTACTTTTTCTAGATATTTCTAGTATGGAACTATTGTAACTACTAGGATAAAATAGGTATATTTAGATATTACCTTTCAACACCAATAACACCATTTGAAGTAGTTTTCAACCGGTAGGTATTTCTAAACGTTAATAAGACTTTTTTTGTATTAACGAAAGTAGTTTTAACAGCATTCTCGCGCTGGACGTATTATATTGTTAAAATAATAGTGTAAAAGATAAACTTCGTACGAGTAAATATTTATTTACCTTTGGCTGAATCGACGTAGGTTTTTCCAGTCTCAATTGTACTTTGTGCAGTTTTCTTTGTGCTATCTACTGTGCTTGCTACTGTATCTATGACGTAAAAATAATTATAAAATTAAAATAAGTATTTATTTAAATGTGTAAAAAGTATAACAAAAAGATCATTGTCATTTAATAAACGAAAAACAAAACAAAATAAAAAGAAACTAGCAAATAAATACCTTTGGCGCTCTCTAAATAGGATAAGCCCATGCCATAAGCTGAGCTGGCAGCACCAACAGATGCATCGTATGCCATTTGGAACGTACTTTGGGCTGTATCTAAAGCGTTATTAGCAAAAACACACGGGTTTAGTCACAAACGAAAAAAAAACACAAAAGAAAAACAAAAGGAAAAATACCTTTGGCACTATCTACATAAGTCTTTGCCGTATCTACAGCTGTTTGTGCAGCGTGTTTTGTGTTCTCTACAGTGCTATTCACTGAATCTAAAAATAAAATAATACATGTAAAGATTGTACGAAAATAAATATAGCTTATCTGCGCTTGCGTTTGAAACCTACCTCTAGCGGTTGTGGCATATGTTTTCCCGGTATCAATAGCCGATTGAGCAACTCTCTGTGTGATATCTACGGTATTCTGAACAGTGCTTGAAACTGTATCTAAAAAAAATTGCAAAAAAACAACAAACATAAAATAGCAACAAAAAAATAAATACGATACAAAAATTAAACATAACGTATTTCTCCCTCAAACCAATAGAAAATAAATAATTCGAAATACCAGCCAGAAATAAAGAACAAAGAGTTCACAGATAAAATAAAACGTTCCCAAAATTATTTCCCGCCCACCGTTTCCGAAGAAGGCATGATGAAAAGAAGGTTTGTTTACCTTTCACCGAGTCTGCCGATGTCAACGGCTTGTCTATGTCTAGCCGCGTTCTTACATTCATCGTCTCATACGTACACAAAGCACCGCTAATTAGTTAGCGGCGCTACACATCGACACAACTATCATTTACACAATATACATGTGTGGGTAATTTCATATCAATAGATATGTATAGAAACATTCGTCTATCACACACATCTTGGTATTTAAAAATCATTTTTGTGTCGGTATACGCAATAATTTAGTAAATAAGTTTAAATAAAAACGAGGGTAAAGATAAAATTACTCATAACAAACTTTGAATAAATCGAAATCAAAAATAATGAACGATCGAGCTATACAATACCCATATAAATATAGTGCTTTCTCATTGTAATTTTATGTTACTGAATGATATAAAATATTTCGATGATCTCATCTACAGCGCGCTTGGCGCAATGGTTATCGCCTCCAATTGTCAAGTAAAGTGCCGCCGGATCGATTCCAACATTCACATGTTGTTTTAGAATTAATTTATCAAATATTTGAAATTTGAAATTAGAAACAATTAAATCTTTTCTTTTTTTTCCTTTCCTATTGTTCTAAATCTTATGTTAATTTTAATAGTAAATACTTTAGATTTATTTATACCTATAATATCTTTTATTTATATTTTAGTTCTAGTTATTTATTATTTAGAATAATCTCATTTGCTTCATGCATTTCAACCAACTTAAATAAGATAAAAACAGTAAAAAAGTAATTAACTGTGATTTCTTAATGGTTCGATACCTGAGTATATTTGCAATGTTTGTGGCGACCATAGAAATCTCGAGTCATTTTATTTTACACGCTTATGAAGTAACTACCGACTATTTAAAACATGTTTTTCAAATCACCCGACTTACAAAATAATTGCGTTCTTAGTTGTCAATTTATGAGGATTTCATAGTTTATTGCTACACTACTTATATTCGTGTGCAAAGTTATTTTTATTTTTACAAGATGTTCCAACACCTATCAACATTTAAAAAGGCTGAAACCATTGTTTTGCATGAGCAAAACATAACTAACAATAACTGAAATAGCAAGGCGTTTAATGATATCGGTGAGTAAATAAGATACTACGTTGATATTCTAAATAATATTTATTTCATTTTGTAACTCGACACACCTATCAATTTTTGCACTAGAATAAAATAATTATTGCAACTTATTATGAAGTTCAATATTATAAAGATATATTAATAATTTATTATTAATTGTATTGTAACTTGACTTGTTTTTGTTAGGAGTGTTTCTTTAAAACATATCTGGTTAGGGATTTTTATTCCTTACGCCACTACTTAATTATAAATTATTATTCTAACATTGTGTTTACTTATATTTATTATTATTTTTAAGTAACTTTAATTCCTGTAAAGTATTTCCTGGTATTTTAAATACTTATTTGTTTGGTATCAACAGAGGAGATCCATGCAGTTATGGGTGCACAGATATGCGGAGACCGGTGACGTTAAACATCGTCGACGTGGGCCTAAACCAAAGGCAAATTCATCGGCTCGGCACTACGACATCGTAGCCAGGCACATGGCTGATCCGTTCCTGCCAACCCGCACTACAGCGACAGCACTGAATGTTTTAATACAAACTGTACGGAGACACCTGCATTCTGGTTTAAGGTGCAGGAAGCCAGAGAAGAAAATATTGTTATCTGTGGTTCACCAGCAAAAGCGCTAAGAATTTGCTAAGGACTTTATTAATTTTGATTGGGCGAACAGTGTAATCATATTGAGCGACGAAAAGACTTTCAAGTCGGATAAGGATGGGCGTAAAATATTGTGAAGAAAAGATGGAGAAAGGTATACGAATTGCAACCTTCTGCCTTGTAGGATCAGTGATTGTATTGATTTCGGAATCAATTATTGAGCCTGTCAAACTCTGCCTTTATTAAAATTAACATAAAATAATGTTTAATTTTTTTAAGAATATTAAAATGCTGTCTAGAACATACGGTGAAGTGATGTTATTGTTTTGTGGTTAGAAATTGTCATAATTTCTTTCTATTCAACATGTTTATTCACTTCACTTTAATTTTTCATTAACAAATTTATTTAACTGCTTTCGAACTTGATTGACATATTATATTTACGCCCATCTTCAATTAATTTAAAGTTTCCCTGATTCTAAAGGTCATGAAAGTTAAAATCGTTCCATAGCATTCGTCACATTCTTTTTACTATCATACAGCCCACTGAATATTGAACCTTATAACAACCGTCGTAAAATAGATAATTAATGGAAGTTCAAACGACAAAAAGTCGCCCATTTCAAGAAATATTATGTTGACAGTGTAATTTTTTACATGTTTTACTTGTTTATTACTGTAAAACTGTAATTTAATAATACATTATATTATTAAATTACAAAACAAGAATGTTGTATATTTGTTTATTACCTACTTAATAAAAAATGTTGCTGCCATCGTATTACCGCTGTACCGCATGATATTTCCCGATTCGACTATGAGGTTTATTGTCATATCTATTAATTATGATTTAAAGAACTTTAAACTTAACATGTGGTATATAATTAATTATTAGATATAAATATTGAATATAAAACAACATATTTGTATAATAAATAAATTAATTGTAATAAAAAATAGTATTGTTTTATTTACCAACTCATTTGCTTCTTTTATAGCCTGATATTTATATTTTATGACAAAAAACAAAAAAAAAAATAAGAAAAATAACAAGATAAAATAAAATTAACTTTTAGCTGGAATAGAACCCACATCATTGATCCTTGAAAGACGATAAAAGCGTGGTCATTAACCAATCGACCACGAGCACTACGATAATGACAGTGAAAATGTCGGGTCATATCAATGATTGTAAATAGTTTTAACCTTACCTATGCATTAAATTATAAAAATACGTATACCGACACAAGAATGAAAATACCAATGTGAACGTGGTGGACGAATATTTTTATATACAGTTATATGAAATTACGCACACATGTACACTGTGTAAATGACAGTTGTGTCGATGTGTAGCGCTGCAACTAATTAGCGGTGCTTTGTGTACCACAGTGCAAAGTTAGTGCATGCAGACAGAGAGAAGTTTTGAGAAGTAATCCATTCATCATCATTAACTTACCTTTAGTTGTGTTGTATGCAGATTCTGCGGCCTTTTTCGTGTTCTCTGCTGTTGTAGCCAATGTGTCTAAAGAAATAAAGTAGCAAAAAAAGAGGGATTTAGCTTAGCTAAAACTAAAAAGGAAAGTACAAGCTTTAAAATAAATCAGCTTATAAAAGTAGCTAAAACTTGTTTAAATAAATAAAAAATATACGCAACAAAAATTACTGTTATATTAAAATTAAAAAATCGACTAAAAATACAACATAAATCGACTAATCAAATTAAATCTCAAATTTCTAATTTGAACCTAATGCACCTACCTTTGGTTGTGTCAACGACCTTCTTGCCGTCAGCGAGAGCCTTGCTGGCGGCATCCTGCGCTTCACCAGCGGCCAGGGAGACCTTCGACAACTCCTTGTCCAGAGCATCGATGGCGGAGTGTTTAGCGTCGTTGGCTAGAAGGAATTAATAAGATTTTGTTAACAAAAGTGAGTTTCATAACATTCAAGTTTTGGCATATAAAGTTTAGTGCAGTAGCACCAGTAAATAGAAGTATATTGTGGGTACATAGTAGTAGTCCCATAAATAATAACAGGTCCGGCATTTTGCTTCCGCAATCACATTCTCTCTACCTATGTGGCTTAGGTCACCTTATCTTATTATATTCCTACGTTTTCCCTTATCACTACATAAATACGAGCATTATCCTACAGTAAATAAATAACAGATATTGAATCTTCAAGTTAGTGGCCATTTAACTGGTTAGCGGCTAAGTTGTAGAAACAGTGTATGTTGATAAAAATAAGATATAAAACAGTTATCTTTTATCTAATAGTTGTGATGCTGATGCACTAATAACTCTGCTAAGTGAACCCTAATTTAAACTGTCAAATACCAAGCGGTCACCGGTGACCGCGACCTATTGTTCTTTAATTGTGTCTGTAAAACCGGTACTCGACGAGTTAAACTGGTTTCATTTGAGTAATAAATTGTCATGGTTTATTTATTTCCTTAAACGGATTGGTTATTTAATATGCGTAGATAGATTGATAAAATATATTTCAATATAATTTTGTCGCATTTAGACTAATGACTAAGTAGTTTAATAAAAATAGAATAGGCAATAGTGATACAATAGCAAGGTTTAAACAAAATTACTAATTAGATACTTTTAAACAAAACATTATGCAAGATTATTATTCATTCTACTTCAAAATAATATCATTAATAACTAAACTAATAAGATTAACGACATAAAACATTTGTGGATAATAAAAATATTAAGAGGACTCTGGGTTGCACGTGGTGTCCGCTCAGTAGACTTTTTATACCGTTGATGTGTGTCGTCTAGCTTCAATCACCGTAAGGAACTCGTGATATGAGCACTACAATACTGACTCATTCTATTATATTCTGACATACAACTACTACAGATACTAACTTGATACTATTTTAGTGAAATCAACGTCCGGATTTAAAAAAATCGACTAAAATCGCTGTCAAATTCGATTCGATTGATTCTTTATTAAACTTTCGATCAGAGAAGCTAGATTCAATAGTAAACTAGGCTCCTTAGTATTGTAAGGCTGAGAATACACTTTCAAATTACGTTATATTTCATTTATGATATACTTAAATAATGACGTTCTATAAACTAAGCCTGAAGCCTAAGTGAACGAAACAAAGAAAAAATCTCTAATTTATATATTTTCTAATTTACTTTCGATTTAATAGATCGCTTTACTTGAAACATGATGTTCATAATAATAAAGTATACTTATTTACGATAAATTCAATGAGTACAAGTAATAACGTCGTAAGTCTTACATAGGAGGTATGTATAGATAATATTGATTACAGGATACGCTTACGGAAAGGAGCCATTAATATGGACAAGATACAAAGGGTCAACGGACGGAAATGTTATGAATTATAATGCAAGTAGACTAGACGCTAGCTGAGTTTATTTATACAAACTACAATCTAGTTATTATATGTATACCTATTTTTCTTTCCCTATTATATCATTGGTTACATTTTAAGATTTCGTGATTCAAAAGCAGCGAAAGGAAAATGTCATCAAATTATTTAGCATGTGAATAATAATGCAGTCTAGTCACACTTAATATGCAATGAAGAGACGCTATAACTTTAAGAACTGATATTAGTTTGAGCGTGTAATCGCCTAAAATATGTTTGCAATCCCAATTACCATCTTCATTTATACTTAATAAACCCTACACTTGTAAATGAATCAACCTGTTTTCTCGTCTTTGACTTTATTGATATCCATATATTTATTTTAAATTCTCTATAAAATACATTTTTAAATACTACTTACAAAGATAAAAATAATATTTAAAAATATAAAAAATAGGAGCCGACCAGTAGCGGGAGCATGGTCCAAGCTACCGGTGGTTAGGGCTCCAGAGACAGAAACCTCCTCACGATACGTGCCGTTTCAAGGAGAACTGCCTTCTGTATCAGGCCCTTGACCCAACTGCCTAACGCTAGCCTCCTAAGGTGGTTGTCGAGGCTATTAGGGATTAACCCATTGGCCGACACGACTATCGGCACAATGATAGCCGAATCTACATTCCACATGTCGACAACCTCGTGAGCCAAATCAAGATATTTGATTTGTTTATCTTTTTCAGCTTTCACGAGGTTCTCATCATGAGGAATAGTGATATCGATTATCATCGTGCGGCGCACTTGTCGGTCTATCACCACTATATCAGGTTTGTTGGCTATAATAGTCCTGTCAGTGATGATAGACCGGTCCCAGTACAACGTGATATGGTCATTTTCCAGAACTGGGTCGGGCACATACTTGTAGTACGGTACCTCAGACTCAACAAGTCGATAGTGCAAAGCAAGTTGCTGATGGATAATCTTGGCTACTTGATTATGCCTATGCAAATATTCACTGTTAGCCAAACGACCACAACCAGAAATAATATGTCTAATGGATTCACCAGGACTATGACATGCCCGACATATGTCAACCGTCCCATCCTTAATTATATATTTCCGGTAGTTATTCGTAAGGATAACTTCGTCCATAATTGCACAGACAAATCCTTCAGTTTCTCCAAAGAGATTACTGAATCGTAGCCAAGATACGGACGCTAGAAAATCTACACTGGGCCCATGAAGGGCCCGGAAGAAGCGTCCGTGGAGCTCCTTGCTATGCCATACCTCCTTGCGATCATTGACGCTCAGTACCACAGGTTTGCGCCAGTTCTCTTTTGCCAAGGATAGCGGAGTGAATCCATTGTCCACCGCTGCTACTTCTCGATGCATACCCTCGTTGACTTTCAGGAAATATTCCCTGAGGCTGCACACCTCACGGTTGTGAAGGGTCTTAGCATTTAATAAGCCTCGACCACCACACTTCCGCGGGATGTACAACCTCATGACCGACGAACGAGGGTGATGCATGCGATTTGCAGTCAGCAGGGTCCGGACTCGTCTATCCAGGGTGTCAAGTTCAGTCTGTGTCCACTTGAGTATACCAAAAGAATACATTAGGACTGGCATGACCCAACCGTTAAAGGCTCGCACCTTGTTTCCGCCTGATAAGGAACTTTTTAGTACCTTATTCAGGCGGCCAAAGAAGCGCTCCTGTAGCGATTGCTTCATGTCCGGTCCATTAATGCCTAATCCTTCTGACATACCCAGGTACTTGTATGTATCGTTTGCGGAGAGTGATCTCAGTTTTGTGAAATCTGAGAGTTCTAGTCCCTCAGATTCCACAATCCCTCCTCGCTTTACATGCATGACCGCACACTTGTCTACTCCAAACTCCATTCTGATGGAACTACTAAATTTTTCAGTTATATTCAGTAGTTCCATCAGTTGTTTCTTGTTTGGAGCAAACAACTTGAGGTCATCCATGTAAAGTAAGTGGGATATAACTAGACCCCTTCTCCGCAAAGGATAGCCTAGCCCTGAATCCTCCAGTAGAGTACTTAGAGGATTCAAGGCCAAGCAGAACCATAGTGGGCTCAGGCTGTCACCCTGGAATATTCCTCGTACTATCCTTACAGGTTCTTCATTCCCTTGGATTTGTCTACATCCCGGATAGCAAAGCACGGTGCTCCACTGCCTCATACATGACTCCAAGAAGGCGCGTAAACTTGCATGTATTTTATACAACTCCAGCACCTTCAGGAGCCATGTATGTGGCACAGAATCATATGCTTTTTTATAGTCTATCCAGCATGTAGACAAATCTTTTCGGGACCGACGAACCTGTTGGCTAACAACCATATCAATGAGGAGTAGCTCCTTAGTTCCACGAGACCCCTCCCTACATCCATTTTGAGATACCGACATGATGGAATTTTTTTTAATATGTTTTGTTATTTTTGTCCTCAAAATGGATGTAAGAAGTTTATAGACCGTTGGTAGACATGTGATTGGTCTATAATTTTTGGGCTCAGTGGAACTACCTGATTTATGGAGCAAGTGGGTAACTCCTGTTGTTAGAAATTGTGGTAACGACCCAGTTTCCAAAGCTGCCTGGAAGTGTAATGCTAAGCGAACGTGTGAACTCTTGAGCCATTTAATCCAGAAATTGTGCAGTCCGTCCGGCCCCGGTGATTTCCAATTCGGGACCGAACAGGCTGCACTGGCTACATCAGAGGAGGTGATTACTACCTCCTCCATCTCTGGTATAGTCTCACACCTTCGCTTAACATCAAACATCCAGTCACCTTCTGTGTGGCTGACAGGCACCGACCAGATGTTGCGCCAAAATGTGTTAGTGGCATCATCATCCGGTCGCCTCCCGTCAGCCACATCTTGGTTGGATCGTTCCCAATCTCTGTATACCCACCTCTGATCTCTTTGGAACATGCGATTCTGAGTATAGCGCTCCACTCTTTTTTTGTACCTTCTGATACGGTTTGCCCATGCATAAACTTTCTGCTTCAGGAAGTCGATGCGTTCTGTAACACGTGATAAGTATTCATGAGGACTGATTTCAGTCCCCACAAATGCACGTCTTACAAAGCGCATCACTCTAGGGCGAGTATTGCCCTCCCTGAAGCAGGATAGTTTGCCAATGAGTACCCTGGCCTCACTGATACGACGCTCTATCCTGCACTGCCAGGCAGGTACTGCTGGTTTTGGTCGGACTGCTGCGTCAAGATTTGGGAATCTGACGTTAGCCACTCGACAAGCAGCAACTGCCCCACAGTACAAGATTGAGTGTGTATCATAGAGGTTTTCGCTACTCTCAAAATATTTTTAAGTAGCGAATCCAAGGCGCTCACCAGCGCCCTATTTTTTCTACACATGGGCAAACGTGGTAACTTTGGTCTTAAATTACTAGGAGCAAGTCTGTACTCACGAACCGCATCCTCCAAAGCACTCCTCAGACGTTCATTGCACTGAGTACTCACTTGTTCAACCCTGTCGTCCTCCACTCCAACGATAGGAGTGGTCAATGTCACACATTGTGACACTACAGGTGTCTGTGCCACCAATTGTGGTGGTGCGGGGACGACACGGTTGCGCAGTGCTTCAAGGCGTAGCCGATCAAGCGTAGTCTCATCCAATCTGCAATTACGTTGGATGACCCGCACTTGATCCGAGAGTCGTTGGGCCGAGACGTTGACAGATGGTTCAAGCACCTGAAACATAGACAGCATCCTTTCACGGTACGCCGTGAGGTTAGTTCCTCCCTCTGTAGCACCGTAGTATGCGCGCATGACGTTCTCGTTTATACTTTGAGTCCATTTCATGCGCCGCACACAACCACCGGTAGCGGGGACCCGTCCCAGGGCCTGATGGCCCCTGGTTCCCAAGCCAGTCGGTGGCCGGCCTCTCCCCGGCCGACGTACAGGTGGTGGCGACGTAGGTGGGGAGAAATAGTCGTCGCTCGAGCTCGACGCAACTGCAGTCACCGGCGTTCCAGCGGAGCGGGGTTCCGGCGATGGCGAGGCGGAGCTGAGCGACGAGTCCGGAGGTGGTGGGGGTGCGCCTTGTTTGCTTCTGGCTCTCGTCAACATTGTTAATCGTTTTGCTTTAGTATTTATTTTTGAAGTTATTGATTCTGTCATTGTCATTTTCATTTTTAATATTTTCTTCTTAGTTTGCAGTATTGTAAAATTATGGCGTATTATTATAAAACAAAAAGGTTTTTCTATTGTTGATAAATATTAGAAGAAACGAAAACAGAATGGAATATATATAAATTATTTATATAAAAACAGAGTAAAATTTTCACAAGTTGACGTTTGTAGTGTTGCCAGGTTATTGATATTATTATTATGATTTGTCAGAGAATGATATTTCAAGTTTCATAAAGCGGCGCTCCGGATGAACGCCGTGATAATAAAATTATGTATACATCTGAATATATACACGTCAAACGAAAAATAGATTAGGAACAATATTTAAAGCTTTTCTTTTCTGCCATTGCATAAAGACCAAGGTCTATATGAAACTAACTTTGTTGCCCCTTTTCAAAATTAATAATGTTAAATTGGTACCTGTGCCTGCAGCGTTGGTGGCGGTCTGCTGAGCTCCACCGATGATCTCACCGGCCTTCTTGACCTGATCTTCTACAACATGAGCGACCTCCTGTGCCTTCTCGACAGCAGCTTGCTCGGCATCCTTTTTCTTACGGTCGAAAAGGGAAGCAGTCTTCTCTCCGATGCTTCGGAACGCCCCTGGAATTTTAGTCGATTAATATTGGCACATCACTATATCTAATCGCGGTTCTTATAAAAAAATAAATAAATTGTTTATATTTTTTAATTTTTAGTATATCTATTTTTATTTATGGCACTAATATTTTTATCTAATATTATTAATTTGTATGCTAACTATTTACGCGATTTCCGTAAACATGTTTCATTTTTACGGTTAAACAATTTGTTCCTACCCAGCTGTTTTACGGTCATTTCGAGAAACACAAGTTACAGCTTCCTCGTAAATTATGTGTTTATCAACTTGGCTTAGTGATAGTAAATATATTGTAATGAAATTTCGATGGGCCATAAACTTTAACGATCAAGAGACCTCACTAATACATATACCTACATATACTGAGAATCATTTACATTAGGTAGGTACCTATTTGTTTTGGTTTCAGTATTTATATTATAACCGTATCGATTCTTGCATAAGTACGTTTTCTTAGATATCACAAATTAGTAAAACTACACATAAAAACAGAAAGCATCGAACGATAGAATATCTATCCCTTACTCTAATTATTATTATAGTACCTAAAGAATAAAATAATATCTATTCAAAACCTTAATTTGTGATATTAGACAAATTTTATCGAATTCACATCAACAAAAAGAACAATATTTCATATGGTTCGCTCGACACGGAGTGCCGCCTTTTTATTGATTTTCATAGCAGAACTAGTTCGGTCAAGGTAAGCTTATCCAGCCTTTGCGTGGACTGTGAAGTCACCAGTTACGTGCCTATAACTGAACATGTTTTGCGAACACCGGTTAACATAACCAGTTAATTCAGAAATAATTCTCACTTCGTAAAGGTACAAATTATTTACCCTGGTAACACCCACGGCGGTCGACATATTCATGGGGTACGTGGGTTTGCTATGAACATTATTTCCTGCCAATGTTTAGCTACTTTTGTAAACATTGGAAGGTTATAGAACATCCATCATGATAATCTTGTGTCATAACTTAAATAACATGTTAATTCTTTAGGTTTTTACAACCTAACGCTAGTAATATGACAAGTAATTATTATAATAGATAGTAATAACTATTGCAGTGGCAAATATTTGACATATCTTTACAATGTTCAAAGGTACACACAATAAATGTGAAAAAGTAAGAAAAAGTTCATAATACAAAATAAAAGAACTCACCAAGGTTCTTGTCTATCGGAAAGCGTGGAAATACATTTAAAAATTATTCATATTTTTACAAAATTGTTTGAATGATTAGGTATTTTCATAATGAAAATTAACTAAATCCATGCTCTTTACTGCTACGTCTAGCTTTAATGGTGACGTGAACTGTGATATGTATTAGGTTACTCAAAAATACCTGTTATTTGATATTTAACGTTAAAAGAACAGGACAGAGTGATAGTGTGGTGACCAGACATTATTTGAATACGTGCATCTACAATACTTAGGTTTTACCTACAAATAATGTAATTTTATCTACTAATGTTTAAAATTTCTATGGTACGAAGTTCAATATGATACAAAACAATCTCAAGGTGAGTACAAGAATGATGATTATGTTTACGGCTTCTAATTTCTAAGATAAAACTAATGCAGATTAACAGATTAAAGTGTGAGTTGGTGTCCGTATCTAAAGTAAAGGTAAATCTAGACAGATGGAAATTAACAAAATTCAATAGAGTAAAAGTTAAAGTTTTCCTGTTCCTTTTAATTTGGAACAGTTGCATGTGTTAGTATAATTGCATATAGGTAGTTAGGTATAATAGGTACCTAATGATATAATTGTGGAGGACATTTCTCGTCTCTCGTCATACTGATAAATCGAAGTCAATCGATACTGAGAGTCGATGTCCCGACCGATTGACCGAACGAAAATAGAGTAGTGCGTGGCGAGTCGGTCAACTCGGGATCATCGCACGCTCGCCTTCCCGGCTCTTTCGTAACTCGTACTGATTGATGGGCCAAATAGCTCTCAAGTGGTAATAATATAGCAAAGTACCGGCCACAATTGAAGATACAACATTGTATTTTTTGCAAGTGCTACTGTATAACATACTTTAAGTTTCGAACACTCACTGAAATGAAAAGCCGAAAAAATAAAATTTATTATACCGCGATGACGCGAAACGGTCGTTCGCGGCCGTTTCCTACGTTTACAGAGATTAAAAATATCCTATGAGATAAGAGGTCGTGTGAAATTCTTAACACACTGACTGAAATACCTACTGGCACACTAACGCTATTATCACTGATCGAGTACTTGATATAAAAGTTCAGCTTATGTAGAACAAAGACGAAACAAACAATTTTATAGACACTTTATATTTTATGCGTATATAACATTCCAAAGTTACATAAGATAATCAAACTGAAAGTTATATGTGTCTGAAAGTCTCATAAAACTTCTATTCGATCTGGAGCAATAACAGCGCAAGGATGACGCTGCGATCGATAACATATTGCTTCGAGCGAATGGCCTACACCAGTAATTGATTCTACGGACCATTGGTTGGGAATACATCATATGGACGGAATAAATAATGTTACACGTGCAGTCCGCAAAAAAGTTCACCATCGCGACAACTGTATCAATTTCCTAGAACTAAACAATAAATATTATTAGCCGCCTGCTAGTCTAGGTCTCGGCCTCGCAAGCCCTGAAATTCTAGATCCAGGTATCGATCGGTCTGCGCTAGACTGGTTTTATGAGCACTGCGGCACCATTGGTGACCTAGGACACAGCGCGCCCACGTTTATAGGTTCCACGTTTAAAATACTAAATGTCACATGTTTTTGTACTTTTATGACGGTATTCAGATGTTATCGCTGTAAACTAAACATTGCTTCGCGTTTTATAAATAGTATAGAATTACTCCAAAACATAAAACGCTGTAATAATAATAAATAAAAAATTGCATTTTCATAACAATTAAGGCGCCGTACGCCATTACGAGGCTCTTAGATAGATTTAAACATAAATTCCAGAAATCCCTGGAGCGAGTCCTATCTAATTTAGCTGTCATTATCGCAGACTATGTAGGCATGAATTACAGATTCTTTAGCTGATACAAGCTCGTAACCAATTGAGATAAATATCCGGTCTCAAGCAACGTGACATCACATCCATCTACTGTCTGTGATGTCATTATGAGATTGAGAATTCTCGGAAATTATAACTTGAAATTATATTTAGACGTCCATTCGCTGCTATAAACTTCTTTTAGCGGAAATCTAGATTCAAGCTTAATCTAGTTTAGACATGTGCCCGTTTAGGTCTTTAATGACACAGACAATAAAACTATATATTATTTATTTATATATTTTTAATTATACTTTGTTTTCTTTGTTTTTTAACAAACGTTGCCCCCACACTAGGATTTTCTCCTGTGTCGTGGGTGCGTTTACAAACATACAAATTCACTTACACATGACACCCAGACCCGGAACAAAAATCTGTAAATCACACAAAGAATTGTTCCGTGCGGGAATCGAACCCGCGACACGTTGCGCATCAGCCAGTTGTCTAGCCACAGCGCCAACCGTGCAGTCAATACTAGTACTACCCACTGACTAAAATTGTAAAACTGATAGATAAACTCAATAGATTTGTTCTGATTTGTAAATACATACCTATTATCACATTTATTTCATAACGATACAATGCGATAACCTATTAAAATGGAGCTAAAATATAACACCTCAATCTGTGTTAATTAGTAAACGACCGGTCATTGTACTAAATAATTATAACTTGGACATTCTGTTGTAAGTATTGTGTACTGTCGGCCACAGATCGACCGCAAGGTCACTTGAGAAACAAAGGATAATTTTACACCTGAGAAGTATCCATGTGATTAATAGTATCAATGGTGATATCGAATAACTGTCGTTTTAACCAATTTTAATCCAAAAATTCAATAGAAAAAATATCCGGTACTAATCCAAATATTATGAAATGATATCGTTTATTTCGACCAAAAGAACGAATGATACAGTTCTGTCATTCATTCAAAGTGTCACATCACTATTTTTATGTGATGTCTTGTATTACGTGCCGAGATAGGAATAAGATTAAAGTATTATTTCTATTAATACTTATAATAGGATTTTAATGATTCATGAACTTAGCAATTGATGGCTATTGTCTGCTACGGATAGACAATTCTAGGTGCCTCTAATGAGCAATCAAAGTAGAAAAACGTGTTTCTATTTACATTCAGATAAGTCGTTGCATTTATGTTTTATTAGGATTTGTAATGGAAATTATGACATCACAGTGTTTTGGAATGGTCACATTCAAGTCGGTAACGTTTTTGTAGTTTAAACTAATATTGATTTCACCTAGCACCTAGTTTTTAAGTAGTTGTACTCTACGTTAGGTACCTCAGGCCAAATATCTGAGTATGTTATACAAAAAAATTGCCACGAAGTTAATCGATTTACCACAGGTAATGTGGTTCACTTCATTATTTTTTTTATTATCCTTTATAATTTTGTTTTTAAGTTATTCCGTACCGGCCATTCCTGTTGATGCCCAAAGGCTTAATTACTGCAAACGCCAAGAAAGAATTCCTGCGCAGCTTGCGTAAGAACCATTTTGTTATATATCTGTCCTCTTTACTCGTGTATATGTTGCTATATGTTAGGAAGAGAGGCGCGAGGAGCCTCGGATATTAATATAATGGCGGGCCCCGGTACTGGCTGACCTTGATGATGTCATCGTGCAACCGGCGAGATTTGTTTTCGTTGCTCGTAACAACGAATGAATTTTATTTGTTGACATTGTTTACCGGGAGAGCTGTTGCATATTCAACGATATTTGAACTGTGACCTATTACTTGATAAAGGCAGAGTATCGTTATCTAGTTCAGCGATGAGAGGCGACGGAATACCAACAGGTTCTTGATATTTATGCAGGAATGTGCTACGTAGACGAAACCTATATTATCACAGCTAAATATGATTAGTTACGTGATTTTGAACGGTCTTGACCCACCCGGCACTGTCAGTTACCTCGTGTAGCACCTTGATCTTTATTAAGCAAAAAATCAAAATATCTCGAACAAAGAACACGTTTCTCGATTATTCTATTTGGATTTTCGAATTAATTAATTTAGCTAATAAAAGGCGATTAAATACATGTAGAGTATTACCGTCTGCGGGTGTCGTGGGCGGGTCCATCAGTGCGTTTAGTACAATATGAGTACAACTGTTGGAACAGGAATATCAGCTTAAAAATGATGTAATGTTAATTTCTTTAAAACGGCTTCCTAGATGTTTCTTTCATTTAGATCAATAAACACACCATTGAGAATTGTTTAACGTAGCTCTAATTTTACACAGCTTCGAATTTTGATAGTTGCAAAACACTCCACACAGTTTACATACGCAAAAGTGCGTAATTTGTGAGATCTACATTTAGCCCTTTGTTGCTACAAGGCGGAATTGATATTCAAACAAGAAGAAACCCTCAGGGGGAGGATAAAAGAACGCTATTCCCTTACAACTGAATGCGAGGTCACGGATATCGTGAAAATGTAGCTCCCGCACTTCGGCTTAAATAAATAAGATGGGTGGATACGATGTGCGTCGTTGCTCCTGGAAGAAATGCTTTGTGTGAGGTTTTGCGCATTAGAACCTCAGATCTCCAAACTAAATCTAATTTAGGAATTTTAAATAACCTACTACAAAACTATTGTTTTCAATTTTGGCGTTTCTACAACGCGTTTATCACAAATTCCTAAAATGTGAGTTATTTTAATTTAATGTAGTCTCTTCTTGACCACAAATCTCCGATTTGAAAACCAGACATTAATAATCGCATCTAATAAATTTGAAATCGTATCGGTTACACAATACGGGTTTATTTGATAAGCTTTATTTATCTAATCAGTCAATGGCTTTGGGCTTAAAAAGTTAAAATAAATCTATTATCACCATGCGAATTTTGAGGGCTTTACAAATATTCCAAAATGTTATAATTAAGTCAGTTTGGTTTGAAAATAGCAGTAATAACTACGAGGCAAAGGTTTCACGAACAATGACAATCAACTGGTCAAGTCTCAAGGCCTAAAACAAGTTCTTTACCAATTTTGGTGTGTTCAAAAACTTGAATCAAAACATCATACGTCTCACTCAAGAACTCACACAGCAACTAATTTATTTAGCAACTTATGTCACTTTAATTCCGCCTCCTCTAAATTGAGCAAATTACTCGTAGGTTGCTGAGATCGAGCGTAATTTTATCCAGTTGTGATTCAGATTGTGTCGACGAATCGACCAATGGCGACCCAGCTCATCACAGGGAAAGAGTCACAAGCAACCGATTACTACAATTGAGCTGCGCGAGAGTGGCACTGTGTTGTGCGACACCTACTCACTGAGAAATAATTCATACTACTGCCTACGTTGACTGCGTTCTTTGAACTTTGACTGTTGAATGCATACGCTTTAAATCACTATAATTTAATTTCATTTTTTTTCTATATTTTGTAATGTACTATTGTATTTCTAATATACCGAGTGTAATACAAGGATTAGTAAAAGTTTCTTCATCAATGACTAATATTTCCTACGTCGTAATTGTGCTCTGATATCATCGCTTTGCACTTTGAAACTTGGACATATTGTAGACATGTGACATTGAAATTCTTGCACAATTAAGATACATACATTTATAATACATATTTTCCACAAAACAGACACATTTAACAACTCTTTGAGGGTTCCATTCCATTCCGATACAAAACTATTCTACGGTTAAAATACCGATCTTTGTCTAAACAGCTCGTTAGTCCAGACTGGTTACAAGAGCGGCTCTAGGATATTACATGAGATTTAAGGCTAGATAGGCCAAGGTATAGGTAACTAGGAAATTCTTCCGTATAACTGTTTGGAGCGAACCTCTATAGAATGGTCAGTACGTAAGAGTACGCAACTATTTACGATTTACAGGTTCCAATTTGAAATTCATGTTTCCCGTTTTATTGAAACATTTGAATCATACCTCATATTTGCCATTAGTATGTTTCCTAAATAGTTTGGCCCGACTGGCTAATCAAATCACACCTGTAAATAGGTAAGGGACAACCAATTACATTTCTTACCAACTCAATTTCTACGAAGAATCACAAGACAGCTCAGTATTTTTATTGGCACCAACTAGCACTATTAACCTTGACTTCTAACATCATCGAATTCTTGGAAATTGCAAGCTGGATACTGAACAGAAACAACCCAAAACTCAGAATATAATTTTCAACGAACCCAAAACAGCAATTTACTAACAAATGAAATTAACTTCGATATCAAACAGTCATAGTATCTGGCACGTAAACAAAGCACATTCCTACCGAACCATTCCACAGTTCGCGCGAATGAATCATAATTTATTTAATAACTGCTTCGATTCCAACTGACCCTGAAATCATATTTCAGAGCGTAGGTACTCTTACACGAGAATATAGAGAGCATAAATACGTAATAGATACCACATTTTTAAAAGTAGACTGGTTATTTTATCCCTGGCCATTTAGAATTGGGTTAAGGTTAAGGTCGCCACTGGGTCTTAATCAGATTCGACTGAATTTTAGTATTTTGTATGGGCCATCCCAAAACAAATTTGAAAATGTGTATCCCCAAAAATGTGATACCACATTTCCAGATTTTTTAGGACTAGATAGACTAAGTACGTATGTATATTAGGTGTAGTCTACAAACAACGTAATAAATCCGTGTTAATACGTAAACCAGAATCCAAAGTCTAGATGAGCCTATATTCATTTATTAACGGTGTATCGATACTTTATCAGCCTCACGTATTCCCTCGGTGCACATGCCCTCGGTCAATCCGCGTCTTGTTGACTAGACTTTGTTCATACCAATCATATTAGCTGGCTTCTCTCATTAGTGCTTCATTGTAACTATAAAACTATAGGGAATTATTTCTACACAACTGAGTAACTGAGATATGGATAAAGCTAATACTAGTGATTTTTTTAATGTCGCTTTTATCTAGTCTTTGTCGAATTAGACACAGATTTTAGTATAGAGTGGCGCATTGCAGATTACTGCAGATGCAGTGTTTTAAAGGCACGTCGCCATCATGTCTGAATACTCTGCAATGCCGCTCTTTTCCAGATCAATATTAAATGTAGTCCACATTATTTTAGCAGGTTTATTTTATGATGAACACTCTGATGCCATGTTTAAGCTGCGTGTAACATTGATTTTCTGATTTAAAATAACAATATTTTTAGCAAGGACACGATAATCATAAATAAAAACAACAGATTTGTCTATAATTGCACGCGGAAGTCGGAACGAATAGATGAATGAATGGTGAATGAATGAGATACCCATTAACAATAGAGGTGTGATAGGTCACGTAGTATTAGGTAATATTTTTTCGCTATTAAGTGCAGCACCAGCTTAGCACCACTAGGTTTATAGTTTTGGCGCGAATACCAAATGAGAACGTGACTTGTGGCGATAAATTATTTAAATCGCCATCGCCATTAACAACTTTGTGTAAGGAACGGGCGACGCGTGCTCGCTGCGTAGTTCCATATTACTTCACATAACTTTGGATTTTGCGTCTTACCAACATTATGTATGATTTTCAAGTTAATTAAGTATTTGATTTGCGTCTCACACACACGCTACTCTAATATTATCTATTACTGATTGAATATTCATCATTTAAATTCGTATATCTTCCTATAATTTAAACCACAACAATTTACATCATTGTGGACTTTGATACATTAGTTGGAAGCTGGAACCTACCGCAGTTGACAAGGTCTCTTAAAACAAAAAGCGACCGAGTTTTTATCATTATAGACACAAAGGGCCAGACATTTTAGTAGTCAACTGAGATCACACCCTCGCCAAGGCCACTGAGAACAAAACGTTTTCACGTCAACAATAACTGATTTACGAGAATAACTAGTGATTCATCCCGGCACCCGTGCAACCGGAGCGTGACCATGCAGCGGGTCCCCAGGTCATGATCCTCACACTAGTTACGTGTTATCGTGGACACGACCGTGTCACGCATCCCAACTATGACAGACAACAGCTGTTAATCACTTTCTGTGTTATCTGTATCAATACCTACCATGTCCGTTAGTTCTGTTACAGGTTAAAAATAGATCTTTAGAGGTCTACGAACGATCGTTATTAGTATTTTTAGATTTACTTCTTTCACGTGCGAAACGAAATTCGACAAGGAATTCCGCAAATTCTAATTTCCTCTTTCGTATGAGTTATAAACACCTACACAAAATGCGTACATCCGATGATGGCACCTTCATCTTTTGCTTTGTGTTGTGCATTATGAGTAGGTAGGAGAACTAGGACACTTTTCAATGATAATTACCTATGTTGCGTTCTAAGTTACAACAATTATTTTTTCGACAGTTCATTAAATGAATATGTCTGGATACACACCTTGTCAACCTAATAACGAAAATTAATATAATAATTAACTTGTCCCGTGTCCAGTCTATCCACTAGACACTAAACGGTGGCGCGGCGCGGCGTGCGACATATTTTCAGTGCAGTAACCTTGCGATGCGGGGGACTGTATTGACCTACTAACTTTTCCATTTGGAGTCTTGTAGACTTGTATCTCTAATGGCGCTATACTATCGTCATAAGTGCACTAAACGCACCCAGTTTCTTTTTCAATAAACTTTCTAACTGTGCGAATTGTGCGGTCGCTAAGTGGCTATGTTGTAGGTTTTTAGGTTTAAAATTATCGAGAATGGAGCTTATTCTGTCATCAATATTAGATTGGTATAAATATTCCTAAATTATTGGTAAAGGTGTGAGTACCCCAGTCTACTGGGAATAACGTGCAAGATAATGTATTAGTTCGCTACAATTAGAATTGCTTGAAGCTAACAATGACATCAGTCTACCAGTTGCCACATAATGACTCAATAGGAATCCATTAAGGAAGCATTAATCCTGATTCTTTACGTTTAGGTAGGTATGGTATGATTCATGAAGATGTGTTCTCGTTGTGAGACGAATATAGAAAGTAAATCATTGGTGTGTGCACAATCAAGATGATGAAGAGGCAGGCAAGAGGCCAAGTTTGATCATAATTCCTGTTTGAAGTTTTTGTTCCATGGATAAAGGATTAAGTCGTATATTGTACTGATATTCAGAGGATTCAGAATGACATTGTTAATCCTAATCTCGACCCCGACCTTGACTAAATTGAATAAAATACCCACAAAGAAAAAGAACAACAAGAAGTAATAGCCATTATTTAGTAAAACGGTAGTACTTCCTAGGTGCTATATGCCAGTAGATTATTCCAAGTTTAAGGTACCGCACTGTTATTACGTCTTAATATTTCAAACAAAGAAAGGATTCGAACCCAGTGAAGCGTCAAAGTCCAAAACAAAGGAGGATCCCTCTATTGCGCAATTCATCAGGAAAGCCTTTTTGTAGAAAATGTTATCAAAATGCTAGTCTATTCGCTAGAATTTAAAAAAGTACGATGATAACATCGAAGACTAAAGTAAACATATCCGCTGAATAATCTCGGAAATAAAAAGGAAAGCCTGTTTTATCAACTTTTATGAACTGAATTATAAATCGATAGTCTTGAGAGATAAAGATACTCCCATCCTACTCCCGATCCGATAATAATTACGAATTATTCTTCTGATTTTTCGTGAAGCCGTTCAAGAGGCAACAAAAGTTAATGTTATCCGGAATCTAACTACTGCGGATTGCGGACTTTCGTTGCAGAGATATCTAAATTACCGGAAATTTGTTGTTTATAAGATTTTGCGTCTAATTATTTTCTTTTGGACGCATCTCCCTACATGTCCTCCAGAATGATTTTCCTGGTGATCTAACAATCCCATTTTTGTTTTAGTATTTCAAGAAGAATTACGTAATGGACACAAAGTAATAAAATATGGACCCACCAACTCTCAACTAGTAGTAGATGAGTCTACTATATTAACAATACCCACCTAGGAGCAGTGGAGTCTGTTTATAATAGGAAAATCGTCTTGAAATTTAATGAAAAAGTGTAACCATGTTAGTTAGGTAAAATTAGGTACATACTTATTGCACCTGGGTTTGCTGTGTTATTAAAATATCAGGAATGTTTTCCTTCGTTCAATTCAATTGATGTTGTTTCTATTACATTAATAGTTGATAATTAGTCGTATATATTACGATTAAATTCTGAAATGGTGTGTGCAAAATTATTTATATGAAATAATTAGGTAATTGTAAATTGTATGTAGGTATAATTTAATCTAATGTTCATGTACATGCTGAACTAGCATACGATGGGTATGTTCTACAATTTAAATGTTTAATTACATCTACCTACTTCAAGGACACTACGGCAAGATGTTAAAAATGTTTTCATTTTTCGTACTTACCTATACCGATAACATCTGATACTAGTTACTCGTTACTTAATTAAAATAGAATAATTTATAACAGGTACATGCATATGCATCTCTATAATCTACAGTGAAAAACAAAATGTGCTAATTTTGAATAAATGAAGTCGGTTAAAAATAGTGACCAATCTACAGTTGCAATTTTTGTATTTAAAATTGTAGATAAGTATTTCCAAAAAGGCTTTAGCCGAATAAAAATAAATATTTTATTGGCTGTTAATTCGTTTCAATTTTTAATTAATTACAAGTTTACATATACATTTTGTACATACCTGCGATTCCACTGAACATTTTGTCTGATTTAATTTATTCCTCACAATTTAAAAACACAGAAGCTAAAACTGCGTATTCACGATTTATTTTGAAAAACTTGCACAAGTATTTTTCACGGAACGCGTTTACGGAGTGCGGTGCGATTGCAATGCCTCTCAAGGTTCTACTCAACTAAAATCGACTTGACCACCCGAACTCAAAGGTACGTTTTCCATGCGAGTGTTATATGAACCGACAGTATTTTTATCGATGACGTCAATGCATTACGCGTTTAGTGGTTTGCGATAGTTTAGTGATGTTTAATATTTTAACAGTTCCTATAATAATCTATTAATATAAAAATAAACAATAATTAATGTTTATTCGATAACAAACGTATAAAATATTAAATAAAATACATATATTTCTCTACCAATACTTACTAAATGGTAGTTTCCATTACGGAACTTGCAACACTCTTTATCCGACGAGTAAATAGCACATCCGGTAGCATTAAACAAGATTAAATATCATACATTAGATGGTTTTTATGTATGGACTCCAAAACTAAAATAGTATTAGTAATGTTGTAAAACTTTCATAAATAAATACCACTTTTTATTATTAGTAAAAATAATAATTGCTCATTTGATTTATGCTAAATAAGTAAAATTTTACAAGAAAATGTACCTGGAACGTGATGGTTGCCTAGCAACGAAAACCTTGACAACAAATAAACAAAACGGTTTTGTGAAATTGTCATTAGCGTACGTTAGATTTGTTGTTGGAATGTGTGTGCAATGTCGAAAGAAAATAATAATTTGCGGTTAATGGGCTCACCTGTGAACTTGTCTTATAGAAGTAAGAAGAAAGACGATAAAAGAAATATTCGGAATAGACCACGATCCGCTTTACAAAGCACTGTTTGTATTACGCCGGTAAGTACCTAATTATAATGTTTTAATTAGCTAGGTGACTTCTATTTACTACTTATGTTAGGTATCATATTTTTTTCTTTTCAAAATAACGTCCTTAGCACACCTAATGTGTATAAATTTAAATTCGCATTCTTATATTTATGATTAAACAACCGTTGTAGTCATGGCGACTTCTTCACGTCCCTCTGTTAAAATATTGCGTGCTTATGTCATGCATGATCTGGAATGAGTTTGCATGATCAAAAGACATTCCAATAAGTTATTTATTGGAATTATTATTTAAATTTCAAGCACAGATACAGTAAATTTTGCTGCAGACAGGACAATGTTTTTGGTTTTTGATTAAATTCTTGTGTGTAATCATCATCTTGGTACAACAGATTATCCGTATGTACTTTTATTTGTATAGTAGGTACCTTTATTCATTCATAAATCAAAATAAAAATTCACTTATAAACAATGTGTATTAGTTTATCTCTATTTGCTTGATAAGACCTATGGATATGAGACCTATAGTTTTTAAACATGAATAATATTATTGTTACAAATATTGTGGACTTGTATGTACATAACAACCAATCCACCACACATTGTTGTTTTTCCTGTTACCAGCATATTTATTATAAGTAAAAAAATGGTGCAAAACCATGTTAACATAACAATAATAAATAAATAAGATAGGGATATGGCAGGCATGTCATGAACATAGATCATGTCACATGAGACATTTTACTACATACTAGCCTGTTGAAAATGATCCCCTAAATTTGTTCATACAAAAGTAGTCTCTATACATTGGAAATAAGGTCTATAATTTAGTTAGGGGAGAGTGGTCACCTGTGACGGCTTGGGGATATATGGGTTAGGACATGTTATGGGTGTCTATAGGAAATACAAAATAAAGAAAATGTGTTGAACTCTTCAGAATTATTGTATTTCAAACTATTCCGTTTTAGGATCATCCAGAAAGATACAAGAGACCGTTCTCAGCTGATACAAAAGACCGAGCACCATCAACCAGAAACTTTTTAAAAGCATTCAGTGCTGAGCTACTGCAATCATATAACAGTAAATATACTTCTAAAAATTATAAAATCATTATAAGAATTTAACAAAATTGATAATTCCTATTGATTTCCAGATTCTGCAACTACTACTATAAAAATAGTAGCACCTACTACTGATCTACTAAGAGACACCAAAACCATTGAGCCTCATTCTAGTAGGAACAAAGAGATATGTAGTAATGCTTCAGACTATGGTTCTGAAGACACCTTCATTAGTTTAGGAACTAAAATCAAAGCTAAAGCTCAACTAGGGACAAAGAAAAACGTGAATTCTAAAAACTTCGTTAAGTACAGAAACATAGCTAAAAAGAACAGGAAGTCCATGGAGAACGCGATTAACGAAGATGTGAACCCTCAGGAATATGGACTAGAAGTAAAGATTGTGGAGAGAGCTCATTCCCCCACTAGACATAAGAATATTTATCACGGCAGGCCTTTATCACCCTCGTACAAGACTCGAGCTTATGAGTCATATTTCATACCACTTGAAGAAGCGAAGAAAGACCCCGAGTTCGGACATGGATCGTATGCCGAACCCAGCATACAGTCAGAAGTTGAGAAAGCTATTGATACGTACAATCGCCGTCTCACCATCTCCAAACAACAGCTATCTTTGGTAGAAGAAGAATCTACGCAAGACCTAGAAAGTGTTCCTTCACAGCACATGTCCAGTTTGTCTCCAGAAATTTCGCTTGAGGACAAAATTGCTAAAAGTGACCATGGTGACAACTTGACTAATAGAAACACTTACGCTGTTGATATTAAAGGCGATGATTATCATAAAATCACCCAGAGCTTCATTTGCGAATCGCGGACTTATACCAGCTTTTTTGATGATTTTCGCACGAACCCCATTGACGGATATAAAACTAAATTATCTAGTACCGTGGTTCACACTGATTCCTCATCTAAAGACTCTGGGTATCCTGACAGTGGACCAAATGAAGATAGGTTTTACACACAGAACTATTCGCTGCCAAATACGTCGATGCTAAAGAAGTCTAACTCGCATGATAAAGTGGAAGAGCAGCCCAAGAGCTTGGACAGTGTCTCGACGAATAGCAATGATAAAGTGTACCACAAAAGTTATCTACCTGATAGAAAGAGTCAATGGGCTGAGCCATTGAACCACAGTCGCTTGCTGTACAAAGACTTCTTCTTAAAGAAGGAGGGCCACATCGCACTGGCTCCACAGAACTCTCCGAGCAAGACCGAGGTGCACATACCTGGTAGTAGTGAAGGAACAGACGAGCTCAAATCCGACAATACTGAAAATAATTCAGATTACCCGCCTTATCTTATTAACAGTACTACGAAAGCGTACACTTCAAAAGTCATTGAAGACTATAAAAAAGAACTAGAAGCTATAAATAACCTGCATGACCTCACCCTCAAAGATATACAGACTGACGCCATATCTCCCACTCCTCTTAACATTGACAAGATGTTCGAAGATGCATCCAACTTCGATGATAAGATGGACACTAGTGAAAATTCCCAAGAAAGCATTGTGGTACCTCAGTCACCGGTAAAAATGAAAAATTCCACTGATGCTAAACGAGACGTATCCAAAATTTCAACAAAGGAACTGATACAAAACTATTTGAAAGTCAAAGAAGGTGATTATGGAAGTGGGTCGAAAAACTTGAAAAAACCTGAAAGGAAAATAAACAACGGTGCATCAGGGGAAAGTTCAATGGGATTCAAACAAGAATGGAATAACAAAAGTCCTAAGGGCGTTACCAAGAATCAAATTCCGGTAAACATAAGGAACCAAACTCAGAAGAACATGTTTACTATTCGTACTCCCATGAGCGCTAGGATTGAAAGCGTGCAGCATGACAAAGATATCGATTCGTGGATGTCACTCTCCGCGCCTTCACCCAGGATCATTGAAATTGAAGAAATTCCAATAGGAGATGAACCAAAGCAACTAGAACCTGTAAAACTTGAGGAGAAAATAGAAACAGAGAGACCTGCGCCTCCTCCACCTGACGATAAATGTCCAAAAACGCCCAAAGAACTGAACAACCAGTCTACAGTGTTAGATATTTACTCGATGCTGAAGGAAATTGAGAGTTACGGCGAGAACCCCGTGGTAGAAGTTACGAATAATATTATACCTGAACCAGAAAGCAAGAAAGAAGAAGATTTCTCGCCGAAGGATAATTTTATGTGAGTAGAACATTGGACAGTCCACTAAATATGACTGTTCATTTATAACATTTATGTTAATGATTTTCAGGGAAATATTTGAGTTCTTGGAGAAAGTAGAACAGAGTGCCAATGATGCTTTATCCGTAGTTACTAATACGACTCCGCAAAGTACCCCAAAGTAAGTAATTCATCATTTTAATACATGTTTTGAGAACATAGAATTTGATTGGTTTTAAATCTGTCTTGAATTTTGATCAGGCTGGAAACTCTACTCAAGTTACCCCAGACAGAACTGGCGCAAAGATTAGTGACAGCTTCACTACAGCTGGAGGAACGATCGTGCTGCATTGCATTACTGCAAGAGAGCCTTGCCAACCATAAAGAACAGGTAGATACACACTTACCTATGTAGTTTTGACCTCCTTAATAATATTTTTTGATTGAATATAAAAATAGTAATTATTCCTGATTTTCAGATGATAAATAAAGTGAGCAACTTAGAGAAGCAGTCCAATCGTAACATCAGTAAAGTAAAGCAAGAATGTGAGAACACTATCAAGAGACATCAGAACTTTATTGATCAGGTACCAAAAAACGATGTAAATCGTGTGTAGGAATTAGAAAACTATAACTTAAACATATTTTATCAGGCAGGTATAACTGATTATGACTCTATGCTAGGCCCAAATTAATTAATAAAATAAGCCAAAAATGCTGATCCGATTGACCGACGAAATGAAAAAGAAAGAGTGGCTATTTTAGTAAAGGAAAGAACACATTTACCTTCTTATAAAAACACAAAACTACCTCACTAATCACAATTCTGTGTTAAAGTTAATCAACGATAAGAAGACGCTGAACCATCGCATAGAACAGCTGGTGGACGAGCGCCGAGCGCTAGAGGAGCGCTGGAAGAGATCTGCACAGGCTCTAGAGGAGCGGTACAAGTTGGAACTGCGCAACCAACATGACAAGATGCAGGCTGCGCAACAGGTTAGCGCAATACATATACTAGCGCAACTCGTTAGCGCAGCATGTTAGAGCAACTTGTTAGCGCAAATCTTTCTTTAAATGATTCCATAGTCATTAAAATAGTGATTATAAAAGTCAAAATTAGTACCTACTTATAGAATTGGTTACTAAGAAAATCCTTAATTACACCACGATACACATGCAGGCAACAATATAAAAACACACAGATAAAAGTTCGTGGTACGTCGCAGCGTAATATGGCCCGGTATATCAGTGGGCCGGGCACTAAGGCTCGAGTTTACAGCCTGTATAATACAGTTTTGTTGAATGGTTCTGTTTAGTCAGGCTTCTTTTGCATGGTTTTGTAATTATTGGCTTTGCTACTTTAATTAAATATTTTAGTTGAAAGTTAATTCTGTAAATCAAAGCTTTCAATGCTTATGTTCCAATTTCATCATATTATTATTTGCACTCATATTAACATCTGCTTGCACTCATTCTAATTGTATCATACAGGTGGCAAGACAACGCTGGGTGAGGCAGAAAGCAGAAAAAATCAAGGTAGCTATTAATAATAAACGTACCAGTTTCTTTATCAGTTCAGCAGTTTTAAACGGCTTGATAATTAGTTATAACAACAAAAGCAAGCTTCGTAGATATAGTAAAAAAATCTATTACAACCAAAATGTAAATAGGTATATTCTTAGGACACTAGCAACACTGAAAATTAGACATGTTGATATTTATAACGGAAATCTAACTTATGTACCTATGTATACTACATTTTATATTTATATTTTTGTCAAATCCAGGAGTTGACAGTGAAAGGTTTGGAAGGAGAGCTGAGGGAGATGGCAGAACGCCAGCAGAAGGAGGTGTCGGACCTGAAGATGTCTCACGCGGAGCAAACTGGACGGATGCAGGCCAAGCATGCACAGGACTTGGAGGACCTCAGGAGAGTGCTCGAGGAAGAGAAAGAGGCAGCTTTGGTTAAGGAGAGACATTTGTCTAGCTCTAGGTAAAGAAACGACTTTAATACCTACACTACAGTGTAATAAAAATAAAAATCTGACTTTTTTAAACAGATCAGATGAATAAAATCACTATGTTAAACTGCATTATCCATTGATCAGTGTAATGCATTGAAAATTCACGTAAAACAATAATAATTTCGTAACTGACTTATTATTATTCTAATTGACTTATCTTGTAAAGTTAAATTAAGCTTCCTTGTGCTCTTCCAGAATTCCAATCCTTGGCAGTTCAGCACTACGCTAAGGAGTGGAATTCTTTGCCAGAGTCTGTATTTCCTGAAGGGTATTACCTGGGTGTCTTTAAGACCCGGGTGAATAGGTTGCTTATGGGTCGACGTGCTCTATCATATGCCACATTATCGCTTACCACCAGGCGAGATAGTGGTCAAACGTTAGTCCCATCTAATATAAAAAAGTAGGCTTGCCTATCTGCCCTAAAATTTACTATCTAAGGTTCTTTGTTATTTCCAGACTAGAGAAGCAGATTTTGGAAATTGAGCTAACCTACCAGGAGCAGCGTACCCGCTTGGTGTCGGAAATGAGGGCCGAGAATGAAAGAGTGGCCGCTGAATTGGCAGCCAGGGAGAAAATGCAGAGAGAGGAATTAGGTACATAATAAATCTTCGCTATCTATCCTATGTTTAGACATTAGGCAAGCGTTTGATAAAGTCTGACATGATAGGTTGATGTAAAATTTAGATTAGCCTTCAACACCCCATTCTTTCATCCACCAAAGTTATAATTTAATAAGAAAATTAGCTATCCGGTGAAATATTAAGCCGAAATGTCAGCTGTTAGCACGATCAAATCAGGTGTACCGCAGGGTAGCATACTGGGTCCGTTACTGTATCTGATATTTACTTTTAACATATTAACTTATTATTCTCTTGCTTTCATTATTTCAGAGAAATGGCGAGAAGAACAAGAGAACGAGATGAAAGAGAAACGAATACAAATGGAACTGGAGATCATGAAAGAAAGGGAGAAAATGGAGGTGAGTCCTTAATCGATAGAATTTATATTTAAACTACAAAAAATGCTGATAAAAATCTTCAACTGCTTTTCTTAAAGGCATTTCTAATCCCTAGTGATAATTGAGTGTTGTTTGGTGCTGTAAATCGAACAATTTGAAGTAGTAACAATAAACATCTAACATACCAGGAGCAAATGAAGCAGAAAGAAGTAGAAATGAAGCAGCAACTAGAAGAACATAAGAAGCAGTTGGAAGTGGAGCAGCAGTTGCAGATAAAGCGGAAGACGGCAGAGATATCGGCACAGCACAAACACGAGAGGGACAGGGAGATAGAGAGGGCCATCGACAATATGGAGGCTGAGGCACAGGCGGGGAGGAGGGAACTACAGGACGCACTCAGGTATAAAAATAGTGGAGATTGGAGCGATTTGTAAGTCAAATCGTTTATTTGAAACAGATCTATAAACACTTTAACACATGGGACTCCATGTTGGACAACGATGACCGACATAGAGGATTATCTTTTAAGGTTTTATTGGCTGTCAGCTAGTTAAGCACTAAATGTTAAACAAACTATTTTAAGATTGTGTCTATTTATCACGCCTCGTAAGTAATGTGCTAATCTTAACACAATACGAAGCAGATAATGTTTATTTCGATTTTTTTTAATCTATCTGAGCTTAATTATACATATATCGATTGATGAGGAAAACTCGATTCAGGAGGAATAAGGAGCAATACGAGGCGGAGCTGAAGGAGCTAGCAGAGACGGAGCAGGCTACGCTGCGACGCTACCAGGACGCGCAGGCCAGGATACGGCAGACAGAGGACAAGTGTCAGTAGTACTCACTTTATTAGCTATTATAGGAACCGGGAGCCCAAAAATTTCCGTCATTCTTCCTTTTTCTACCCTCTCTGCCAATTTAACCAATCAGAGGTCCGTGCCGAACACGGAAACGTTTCGATCTCGTAACGTTTAAAAAAAATACGTACTAAACCCTCTGACATACATTATACATACTCAAAAATATAATCTTAATTTTTTGTGACTTATCCAAGGCGTTCGATTGTGTCCTTCATGATACATTGATCAGGAAGCAAATCTCTGGATCTTCTTACCTCATACTTGAGTAACAGGATTCAGAGAGTCGAGATAAACGGAAAACTCTGCGCCGGGTCTGTTGTCAGGATGGGGGTTTCGCAGGGGTCGATTCTCGGCCCTTTTTTGTTTCTTATCTATATAAATGACCTGGCTTACCTTGTAAGGGATAACCACGAGATAGTATTGTTTGCGAATGATACTTCGTTATTATTTAAACTTAAACATAGACAATTAGTCATTGATAATGTGAACAGTGTTCTCTCGGAAATAGTACGCTGGTTTAGTGCCAACAACCTATTACTAAATGGAACTAAAACTAAATGCATTAAATTTACAACACCAAACGTTAGACATGTGAAAACTAGCGTGCTAATTAAGGGTGAGGAGTTGAACCCTGTGGATTCTACTGTCTTTTTACGCATAACCCTAGACGCTAAGCTCCAGTGGGCTCCACATATGTATATAAGTTATCGAAAAGGCTCAGTTCTGCTGCATATGTCGTTAAAAAATTAGAAATTTAACCGATGTAGATACAGCGCGACTAGTATACTTTAGCTATTTTCATAGTGTCATGTCATATGGTATTCTCTTATGAGGGAATGCTGCTGACATTCAATCTATCTTTGTTCTGCAGAAGAGGGCCATTCAATCAATTTATAATCTTAGTCCGAGGTACTCTCTCAGGGAACTATTTAAAGAAATGAATGTAATGACTGTTGCCTCTCAATACATCTATGAAAATGTAGTATATGCTCACTAAAAGAAAAGTTAAATTAAAAAGTATAGTGATATACATAATATCAACACGAGAAATAAAGACAAATACATTCAGTCAAAAAAGTATCGGGAATGGATGATTTGTTTATGGTTATAAATTCAAATTTTTGTTTTTTTGTAGTTGTTAAATTGGCACAACTGTTTTCCATTTTGGCGCGGAGTCAGAACGGGTCCGCTCAAACTGTTGTGGTTCTTTCCTCAAAAGGCCACTACAGAAAGAACTTGCACGGCTCTCACACGTAATCTTTTATACATATTTGTCTGGACTTTAAAAGAGACGGACCTCTGAGTTTGTTTCGGCATTTCTTCTCAGAGTAGTCAGTTAGGAAATGTCGACCTCATCGTGCGCTTGATGAAATTGACGTATAATAGTGCTGCTTTGTAGCCTATTTGCAGAAATAAATTCACTAGTTTCACTTATTTCAAACACATATGTCGAAATACTCAAACGCTACTCAGTTTTAAGTCGCGCTTAACTATAGTTCTGTCTCTAAAAATTCTTTGTAAAATGACAGAGATGGCAGGATATTTAAGGATCTTAAAATTGAGTAGCCTTCCAGTATTCGTGCGATAGTTACTGATATCGTTTTATCATTTTAGGTGCTGAATTGGAAGTGACCATCTCGCAACTGGAAACTCGGAACAGGGTTTTAACTGAAGTAAGTATTTAATAACGAGTAGTTATTAATGAGTCCCGTGTAATAAGGGGTGAGCCTATTGCCATATACTGGGCACAATTCAGTACTATTACTTAGAAATTTACTTTCACTGTCACACTATCTTTTAGTGTCTTTTTTATCTTTTATTTATGCTGCATCGTGCGTGGTGCTGAATAAATGTTTTTACTTTCTTTCTTTCAAATTTTCTAAATATCGAAATAGCCATAATTTATTGTTTTTGTATTACCATTGCAGAAGAACACGCAGTTGGAAACTCGAGCGGAAGAGGTGCGAGCTCAGTGCGCGGAGTCATGGCGGGGCAAGCTGGACGCGCTGCAGCGAGAGATTGAAGACATGAAGAAAACACACGAGGAACAGATGCACCAGCTCTATGCCAAGTCAGTCACTATCTCTGATTGCTTTATGCTCTTAGCAAACTTCTGAATTTTCAAGAGTAATCTTCAACTTGCCTGTCAAGTGTTGAGGTTATGGCAAGCCCCTCTAATGTACTCTAGCCTGTGGGCTACCTCTACATTAGATCTGAATTATGGTCCGTTAAATAATATGTGCAATGTTGTTACATTTAACTTTAGTAACATTATTTTAGGTTGGCAACTTTTATTTCTATTGTGTGTGAATTTTTACTCTATGGCTCTCTCTCTCTCTCTATGGATGGATAGGATGTAATAGTTGTGTGTGTTTCTCAATTATAATAAAACAGTTTGATCAGTTAAAGGACAATTATTATTTCTAAATAACTACATGGTCCACCTGTAGATTGCCACGAACTGGCACCCGAGACACCAGAGGATAGGTGCGTTGCCGGCCATTCAGGGATTGGGGGGGAACACAACTCAAGCCGTTGTTTCACGCCGGTTTTTTGTAAAACCGTGTCACGTTCACGCCAGCCGAGCCGGTCTATTCGTGTCGAAGTATGATCCCACACTTGATAAGATGATAATCCTTAGGTTTATCCTGGTATTACCAATTTGTAGATTATGAACAGTTAATATCTTCAACCTTATTTACAGGGTGAAGGTGGCAGTGGCCCGCAAGGACTCGGCGATACAAGCGCTCACTCGCGAGGCTGGGAAGTACCAGGAGAAGATCACGCTGCTAGAACAGAAGTTGCAACAGCAAAGGAAGGACTTCTTGCAGAAGAAATGATGACCGTCATCTTTTTGATTTATGGCCCATTTTTCAATGATCAGTTAATTTTCAACTAAGTATAGAATAAAATTGTCAGTTTTTATTATGGAAGAATTGTCAAATATTCAAAGTTATTCCTCAATTAAAATTTATCTGAGCATTAAAAAATTGGTCCCTTACTAATTTAGTTAGGTGAGGTAAAAAAAGCCAAAATGTGTTTTGATGAAATGTTGGTTTCTTGTGACCCTTCCTAATATGTATATTCTAAAGTTTCGAAATGTTTAATTAGGAATGAAAATTGATTGGACATTTCCATTGAAGATTTTTTCAAGTTTATACACCGTGACATCTATTTCGTTTTCGTCCCTCAGCAAAACAACTTGCCACGGAGAGTACTTTCGATGTATAAAGTAAAAACAAAAAAATAAAGATGTTTTTTCAGTTAAAATTTTTTTTTCATGGAAATACGCAACTGAAATACTAGACGTAAATTTGTAGTGAATTCGCATCGCACGTGCCACCCGACGAGAAATACCTCTTCGAGAATACATGGCGTGATATTTTGATAATGTAGGTAGGTACTATGAGTTCATATGCTCTTTCGAAGTTTGCTTTTTGGATTCACCAGTTATTTTTTGTTTTAAACGTTTGATATCTTTGTAAAACTATTGTATTACCAAGATGGAACCATTTTATTTCGGGACGAAAACGATATAGATTTCAGGGTTTACCTATAGGTAACTTCCATTTAGGTAAAAGCTTATCTATTAATGTCTTCAAAAGAATTGCGCCAAGATTTTTGTACTTTCTAAATTTATGTGCAATTTGTATAAAATTTTTACTATTAACATACTACTACTAGTCTTCTCAAAACCAAAGTCTTCGTTTAGGTATTTAGTTATTATTCTTAGTTTAGCTTGGCTTGTGTACACGAGACTGGGCGCTTGACTGGTGTAAGATTGCGTTTGTGATTCTTCCACGGAACATAGAATAGGTATATTTTTTATTATGTCATTCTACATGTAAAGTGCTTGAAAATTATGTTTGTACATACATGTTGAAATGAGTGAAAATTATCTGTCATATGATGTTTTAAAACTTATTTAGTGTGCCAACAGGGGCGTAGCAACAGGCGCCGTATCAATTATTCAGGGCTCCTGTGTCACAAGGTCCCCAACGTGCGTAAGCAAAAAATAATAAAACCTTTTTTAATTTCTTTTAGAAATCACAGTAATTATATTAAGTAATTAATATTTTCCGCTTAAAGCATGCGTTAAAAAATTGCCAGTAGTTAAGAAAAACTAAAGGTCTAAAGTCACCATAGTCCGATGATTTGAGCAGAACTATGGGGGAAAGATATCAGGGAGTGTTGAAAATTGGCAATTTTGTACATTATGATGTATTTTTTTAAAAATGGCGTCAACAGGCTTTTTATAACCTGTTCCCTGTGCGTTTTATGAGACAAAATTTTGAGGGGCCAAACATTTTTATACGAGGCCCCCCCGCCAAGCCTCACTACGCCACTGTGTACCAAAGTACTTTATTATCACTTTTGCTTAGCAAACTTTGGCTATTTACATTATCTTTACACTTTATACTTACCTATAGGTTTAAGCCTCGATTGAATTGTTCGATTAAAAATTGTGTACTTTTAAAATTATATAAGTACAAGTACCTACCTACGTACTTCCTGGATTATGTATTAAATCCAATATCTTACTAATTTAATTAATTTATATTCTAATGAAATCGTCCAAAATTATGTGTTTTATACCTACCTAGAATTTTGCAGGATGGCTTATCTATATTTATGTCATTAACGCCCGAATACTGAAAGGTTACTCAATTTTAAATCGTAGGTACTTAAATACTGTGTCATCCCTGACATTTTGAAGAATCTGTAGTGACAGAAATAGTTCAATCACTACAAATTCTTATATCTTATACTATTACATAAAGCGGAAGAGTTTGTTTGTTTGTTTGAAAGCGCTAATCTCCGTAACTACAAGTCTGATTTGAATAATTCTTATTTTGTTGGATAGCGCATTTATCGAGGATGGCTATAGGCTATAAAACATTACGCTACGACCAATAGGAACTGAGCAGAGCGTGTGAAACCGCGCGGAAGTAGCTAGTATTTAACACATATTTATACTTAGTACTACATTACTACTACATAGGACTTAAAATTGAATAGCCTTTCAGTATTCCGGCAGTCGGTAAACATTTCCTTAAATTGCTTGTTTTAGCAGTAGGTTATTACCTACCTTCATTGCGTACCTAATAACATTAGTTTGTATTTTTTGTAAGGGGGAAAATCATCGAATGACTGCTCCCGTCTGGGTGAGGCGGTATTCTTTTCTACATGAGTCAAATTTAATAATACCTGCGTATCTAGTATTCTAGATAAAATACTCATAACTACCCACCCTACTATTTAACTTAAACTTACAGTAAAATAATTGTTTGTTGCATATCAAATAATATTGTTTTTCTACTATTTATGTATGTCTCAGTGTGTTTGTTAATTTAATAATTTGTTGTAATAACATTCCCACAACGTGCTTGCCAATAAATTGTACCTTATATTTTTAATGTTTGTTTTTAATTGTTACGTGAAGTACTTATAAGATCAAATCTACCCAGTAGGTACTGAATTGGAATTGGAATTGGAAAACTAATAAACAGTATTTGTAATTGCTTTAATTATAGATTGTTTATAAAGAAAGCACCTAAAGAAAGTGAGTGCTTTCTTTTCCGAATTTCCAGTTTATTTGTATAGTTTTTAGACATTTACATTACAATATTCATTAATTCAATAACAGTAAGACATTGTGTTGACTTTTGCCTTAAAAATATTTCCTTTACGTAAAAACAGCGGTATTATCAATTTTTCCTTTCAATAATTTATTTAATTTTAATGACGTGCAAATCTAATTCTTGATTCCTAATCGTATTGAATTATGAAATTTCAAAATTATTGAGGGTGGCAAACGTTGGTGGTTACGGTTAATAAGATTTTTTTAATATGTAATCATCGCTCTTTTAACTTATATCTTATACCTTTTTTTTCTATAATCAATTTATATTTTATTTTAGGAGACAGGTTAAAATTAAACAACAAATATGCTTATTAAAAGTTGCAAACAAAATATTAAAAAATATATTTAATAATATCACGAAATATAATACCAACAGGTACGCTCTTAAAGCTATGGAGGCACTGAGAGGGATAGGCACTCCTAAGTCCCTTCTTACATAGATCTAAATAACTTTAACAATAAATCAAAAAATATACATTTAAATTCTAAAAAAATCTTCTCAACAGTTTTCAAGATCAATTTTTGAAAGCAGTTTCTTTGATAAAATGCTATTTTTTACAGCTAAACATCGGATGCTGGCTCTGTAATCCATAATTGCTTCACCGGTTTCTGATAATTAATAAATCTCATAAATATTTGTAGTCTTTCATAAAGTTGTGATCACCAAGGTCTCCACATTTCTGTACTAGTAGAAGCGCCTTGTTTCGGCGACCTAGAATTAGTATCTGCCTCCAATTTGACTTCTTTAGGAACACTAAGTTGGACTGGTCCTACGTGCGAGGACTGCGCGAGTGACGCCGCAGTGTGGCTTATCACAGTTCGAGGAGGTACTGGCCGGATCTCTACCGGCCTCTCAACGGCGCACGGAATACTCTCCGGTAGCGTCAGCTTTTTGTGAGGAAATGTCACTCTCTCAGGGACCCTCGTAAAAGCGGATTTTTCAGGAGTTCTATAAATATCCGGAACGACTTTATCATCTATTTTCAGTATTTTTGGAGCAGGTCCTGTTAGGTCTACTACAGGCCGTTTCAATTTGTGCCTGATGGAGTAGTCCACAGCTCGCTTTGGAGATGCATCGATGCCTATCTTATAGTTCTCTACATCTATCACAATTGACAATGGCTCCATATATTTCTTGTTACGTAGCGCATCTTGTCTGCTTTCTGGAGATATTGTCGTTGAGGATACTGTTGATTTCTGTGTTTCTGGGCTGGAGTCCTGGTCGGAGGCAGAGCGGCTGGGTGGTGTGGGGAACGGGAATGTTTGAACAGGACGCGGTGGTGTTTCGAGTTCAGTGGAGGAATCGCAGGCGGAGTCACAGGATAGGGGGCTGAGGGGAGGGCTGGTAGGTCTGGTGGACCTGACGAAGTGAAACGCACTGGGTCTTTCGTCATCCAATCTTAGAGGGTCTGGAACGAGAGGTGCGTAGTCCCGAGGCTGAAGAGTCTCCATGCCTCCGATGCAGGAGGTTAAATGGTTGCCGAGTCGATGCCTGAGGCCTGTGGGTACGCTGGCTAGACGTGAGAGGTATCTCCTCACTTCCACGGCACAGTCGCTGAAGCCCGACTTAAACCGGTGCAGCACGGCCGGGTCTGCCGCGATGGCTGCCGCAAGCTGCTGGCGCTGCAACTTCTGCAGGTGCTTCACAGTAAGCTCCAGAATGTCCGCCTTCTCCAGCTTCGAGTGGCGCGATGGCTGTAAATGAAAATATTTATAAGTTACTTTCTAATTGGAATCGTGCTTATGGTTTGTTGGTTTATTTTGTTGCATAAATTAAGGCTTTAACATTCATGAGAGTAAAAAGATTTCAGATATTATCTTGTACCTATAACAATTTTCTTTTCATTCAATGCTTTTATTTGGATTGAAATCAGAATAGCTAGATACACTGGACAAAATCTACAAAAATGCAAATAAAAAATTTGAACAATTTGAAGTAGCTACTTACATCTTTATCGGATCCATCTATGAGCAAATCTTTCAACTCGTTGAGGCAGTTGTTGATGCGCGCGCGCCGCTTTTTCTCCATAATCGGTTTGTTAGTCTGGAAATGATAAAGAGAATTTTTTGATACATTAGCTTCTCACATTTTTTTTTCAATTTAGAAATAAGAAGACATTATTGAAGAGACAGTATTGCACAGATCACTAATCCTTTTAAACACTTGCATTACGTGATTATGACGAAACACTTTAAAAACAAAGACACAATTTTTCCGCTTTTCACGAATTAAATCCAAAACGCCCAGTAAAATAACAATATGATTATCTTAAGTAATCACCTTTCGCAATTCAGCTTTGGACATTCCTTGGGTGGGTTCAGAGAACCCGGTTTGGGAGTCATCATCTTCACTGCACGGCATTTTATCACAAATATTTACGACACTTCACAAATACAGGAGCGCGACACGACCGCACTCCTCGACGGTTCAACACCTTATGAAGAAACTCATACGCAACCGTAACAGCAAAATTTTTCAATTACCCGGTATCCTGCTATCCCGTTTAGGAGTTGAAAGTAAAAAATATAGTCATCTCTTTCTCTCCTATGGACAAAAGCGCTGGGAACTGTGTCGGAATGTTTTGTTTTCGTGCCGTCCCATTCTAATGGGGAACGTTGTGAATGGAGAGTATGGGTGCAGTTGTTAATGTGTCAGTTGTTTTGTGTTCGATTCCGGGTGGTTTTGTTTTTGTGGTGGCGCTATATAAATTGTTTTAGTAGGTATTTGGATTGTATTGATTAGGGACTTTTAACTTAATAGGTTTAAAAAATAAATAATAATGTAGTTGAATACATTAATAGTTTTAAAGTGCACAAAGATAAATAAGTAGATATGTACCTATTTATATGTAAACATCCATTTGTACCTAATTTTGCTGTCTAGTATATACTTTAGCTTTCAAGAAACATAAAATGATCTAATTGAAACTTTATAAACGTAAAATAAAATTCCCAATATTAACAACATTCGCAAATAAGTCTCTAATAAAATATTAAAAACAATAAAATATCGAGTGAAGCTACACCTGCGCTCCCTTATCCTGTATTCTATGGGAATGCGACCGTACGCATGCACATCAAGAACCGCAATCATTTCGTCCCCGACGCTCGCAACTGAACCCCATACTTTATGAACGCACACCTTTCCATAAAGTCACATAATTATTTTCACTATAAACTGCTCATTTTACTCGCTACTTCATAGGTGTAACGTAGCGTAAAGGGAAGGTGGAGTATGAAGTTTCAAGTTTTTTTACTGTCGTGTGTTCGCAGGTAATTGTGGTACTTTATGGTTGGGGGTGAGTGTATTTCCCACGAAGTGTGGGAATGTGTGATAGGTGCAAAGGGTTCGTTGTGACGAAATGTTCGATTCATTTGTTTACAATACACTTGAAGTTTTTGCAAGTTACGGCATTTTTTGGTGGTCATTTTTTTGCGTAAAATTAGAAGAGGTTTACCTGCTTTGTTGAATTACTTTTGCGTATCGATTAAGTAAGTATGAAAGGATTTATTTTCTTAGACGAGGACAATCTATATAGTATTAACAATCACCGATGCCTACCTTTTTTTTTTTTTTTTTGAGGGGGGAAAATCATCCAATGACTTCTCCCGCCTGGGTGAGGCGGGAGGGAGTGTCAGACTCTTACTGACTAAAAACCACCCCGTTCCTACACCTGCACTTCGAACCGGAGCCCCGGCAACCCGTTAAGTCTTCCGCGGCTCCGTATCGGCATCAGCCTTGTTAGGCCCCATCTGTGGTGGTCTGATGGCTCCTTGAGGCGCGCGCGGAACGCGACGCGCCGTACGCACGGGCCTGGTTCTGGTCGGGCGGCGAGTCACCCATGCTCGCCGTCCGCAGACCCGTGCTTACGGTGGCCGGAGATCGTCTCGCGATCCCCGACGCCCGGAGTGTCTCTCGCGACGGCCGGGTCGTGAGGAGGTTCGTTCCCTCACGCGCTCCGCCTCCTCCTTAGCTAGCATGACTGCTTCGCAGAAGGAGGAGACGGCATCCCAGTCCCCCTCGCTCCGTACCATGGTCTGAACCAGAGCCGGACGCGAGAGGTCGCCGTCGCCGATCACATTCCTGAGGACACGGCGGTGCTCAGTCCACGCAGGACACACCGCCACCGTATGCTCCACCGTGTCCTCCGGGCGATCCTCGCAGTGATGACACCCGGGCGTTTCCTCCCGCCCAATCCGAAACAGGAACCTACCGAAACTTCCGTGTCCGGTAAGCACCTGCGTCAGGCGGTAGGTGAGGACGCCGTAGCGTCTCTCAAGCCACTCCTCAAAGAGGGGACTTACCGCTGCAATGACAGCGAGCCCAGCCTTCGGTTGCGACAGTCGTTGCTGCCATTCCGCCATGAGATCACGCCGGAGCTCATCCCGCCACGCATTAATCTGGCGCGGCAGCGGAGTTTCGCCCCGGCGACGTGCCTCCGCGCGCAAACAAAACACGCGCGCGAGCACCTTCGCCTCCAGATCCCACGGCGGTAATCCGGCAAGGAGGTTCGCCGCCTCCCCGGAGATCGTGCGATATCCGCGTATCAATCGGATCGCCATGACCCTCTGTGATGTGAGCAGCGCCCGAGCGGGCCGCCGCATCAGGTTCGGCGCCCACACAGGGGCGCCGTAGAGGGCCATGGACCGCACGACCCCGGCGTATAACCTCCGGCAGGAGGCGTTTGGCCCCCCGAGGTTGGGTAGGAGGCGCTTAAGCGCCGCCCCCGTCCTTTCCAACTTAGGAGCCAAACGTCGGAAATGCTCCACGAAGTTCCACCGACTGTCGAGGACGAGTCCTAGATACTTCATCGTCGTCTCGACGCCGATGGTAACTCCTCCCGCCGTTAATTGGGACTCACCCGGAGGTGGCGCGTTCCCGCGGCCATGAAAACACATGGCTTCGGATTTGTGGAGCGCCACCTCGAGTCCCAGTTGCCGGATTCTTTCAACGACTGTCGTAACCGCTCTCGCCGTTAAATTAGCCGCCGCCTGATGCGACCTCCCGTGTGCTAACACTAGTGTGTCGTCAGCGTAACAGACCACGCTGACGTTGTTCGGGAGGTCGGTGCGCAGCACCCAGTCATAGCCGATGTTCCACAGGAGCGGCCCCAAAACCGAACCCTGTGGAACACCGCGCGACGTCTCTCGCCGGTTCCACTCACCTCGGTGACCGGGGTAAATGACGGACCGTTCCGTCAGGTATGCCTCGATTACACGACGGAGATAGGTGGGCACCCGATGATATCGAAGTGCCTCCAAAATGCAGCTCCAGGGCAGGGAGTTGAAGGCATTGGCGATGTCCAAGGACACCGCCACTACGACCTTACCTCTGGACACTGCAGTCCCCGTCGTGAGGTCTCTTACACGCATGATGGCGTCCACCGTGGAACGCCCTCTGCGAAAGCCGAACTGGCCGTCCGACAGGTCCGGCCCAACATCCGACAGGTGCGCGACGAGGCGGTTCGAAATGATCCTTTCGAAAACTTTTCCCACCTCGTCGAGCAACACGATGGGCCGGTACGCGGACGGAGAGTCCGCAGGGCGCCCCGGCTTCTTCACTAGGACCAATTTACCCGCCTTCCACAATAGCGGGAACTGGCCCCTCTCCAAGCATGCGCTGTAGAGACCAATTAATCGAGGCTCGAGAGCCTCCGAGGCCAGGACCCACGCCTTGCCGTGCAGTCCGTCGGGTCCCGGGGCGGTGTTTTTGGCGCCCATCCGGCGCACCGCCGCTCTCAACTCGGCCTCGGTCACCTCCGAAACTGTGTCGTCGTCGTCTTCGCTGTGGCCCACATAGGGCACCGCAGGGGGCGGAGTCATGGACGGAGGGGTGAAACCCCTCTGTAGTCGGGGGAACAAGGTGCCGACCACCTCCTCCACTACCTCTGGCCGGAGACTCTGAGTCAGCGGGGGAGCCCATGTGCGGAGCTTATCCCGCACCATCCGATAGGGGCGTCCCCACGGGTCTCTGTTCAGAGTCTCCAAGAACTCCTGGAGGGCATTCTCTTTGGCCCGCCGTATCTCCGCTTTCAGGGCGGCCTTCGCCGCCTTGTACCCCTCGTACAACTCCGCCTCTCTGACCTCTGCGTCCTGAGGACGGATGCGAAGCCTGCGGTGCCTGGTGTACCGGCGTCGCGCAGCAGTGCATGCACTGCGTAGAGCAGCCAGCTCTTGCGACCACCAGTACGTCTGGCGCTTGCGCTGACCTGGCCGGACCCGGGGCATCGCCACGTCACAGATTCTGGACATGGCGTCCTGGAGCCACCTCGCCTCCTCATCGATGTCGGCAGGCCTGTCCGGTGGTATCACCCAGGCCTGCACGATTGCGGCTTCAAGGAATAGCTCCCGGTCCAGCTGTCTCAGCGCCCAACGCGGGCCACATGGGGCCTGTCTGACCAGCGGGTCCGCGGACTCGGTGGAGACGTTAAACCGGATATACCGGTGGTCGGAGTACGTTTCCACCTCCTCCATGACGCGCCAGTCAACAACACGCGGTGACAGAGCAGGGCTAGCGAACGAAATGTCCACCACCGACTCGCCCTGCATCCGCACGCACGTGGGGACAGAACCCCGGTTCAGGACGACTAGGCCTGCCTCAAGGGCCCAGTCTTCCACCATCCTACCCCGAACGTCAGTAAACCGGGAACCCCAAGCCAAGTTCTTGGCATTGAAGTCCCCGAGGACGAGCACGGGGAGGGAACGGAACCCGACAACGACGGCGACCAACTCCCTCAGGGAGTTGTGGAACTCGGCGAGAGTTCGGTTCGGAGAGAAATACACGCCCACCACAGCGATCTCTCCGAACCGTGCTGCGACACAACCCCGGCCTCTCTGAACGGCCTCGAGAGTCGGGGTTCCGGCGGCGGCTGACGAGATGATGGTCACCGAGCCGTCCAAGTCTGCCACCCAGTGATCCCTGGGCGGGACAAAATACGGCTCGGAGACCACAGCGACATTTATTGACCACTGCGCCATGCTCTGAAGCAGGAGATCCTGAGCGGCGGCGCAGTGGTTGATGTTCGCCTGAAGGAGGCGGAATGGAGCTATTATTGGCAATCCATCCCAGCCTCTTCCCTGACGGCATTACAGCCAGTGGTGGCCGCGGCGACGGTAGCAGTGGCGACTGCAGCGGCGGCGGCGGGACTGACGGGGGCAGCGGAGGGCCTACTCTTGCCCCTGGATTTGGCAGGAGGGGAGCAGGCCTTGCTCCCGACCCGGTGATTGGCCGGCTTACCAACCGCCGCACATGCGTGACAGTGCAGCGGGGCAGAGCACGAGCCGGCTCTGTGACCGGGCTGACCGCAACGGAAGCAGCAGTCACTGCGGTCAACCTCCGAGGTGCACCTAGCGCTCACGTGG